TGTCGTGGTTGAACCAAATTACTAGTAGCTTCCTACAGTTCTATGATGTCTGATTTTTTGTAATGTGCTCAAGCGCCATATACCTTGTACTACCGTAACCCTGCCACTAGACGCAATGTTCAAAAATTCTATTTGGCTGGAGTTCTTACGTGAGCCAAGCCAACTGCCCAGACGGCAGGCTACATGATTCATTTTTAGCCGAAAAACTCAAATTTCAGCTCTGGTTCAATACCGTACATCTTTTCCAGCAGACCAATCAGCGTTCTGGACCACGGTATTGGGCGAGAGTTCAAAATTTAGTTCCTCGGCTAAAAACGAAACCTAAACTGTCGCTTGGACAATTGCTTAGTTAGCTGTCTCATCCGTTTTAACATAAGAATCAGAAGAACATGGATACTCCATCCCGCAGCGCATTTTGCGGTATCATTCTTGGTTGCTCGTGGTATGACTTCACCAGCCTTGTTGGTTACGGTAACGTGCTGCCAGCAAAGAAATATCTCTTCAGAACGCGCTTTTTCGGCAGTTTTGTACTTTGCAGTATTGAGCCGGCACCATAAAACCTAAATTGATACTAAGCTTCCCATTACCTGCCCATAAACAGCTAACTTCCCATTTCAAAGCATCTTTATCTAGTAGAAATCCTGTGAATAATTCATCGTGACATAAATACTCTTTTTGTTCGTGAGTAACTATTAATGACGAGTTTCTGCAATTCGGCTGTCAAGTCTTATTGCCAGACATGTGGATCACTTACCTTCTGAATGGTTTTCCCCCGTTGAGTGCTAACAATTCAGCTACTTTTCGTTTGTTGTGCCAAGATCGGCTAAAAGCTTATAATTGTTGTCTTAGTAGGAAGCAAAGCTCTTTTACCCTGGTCTCCTGCTACAGTAGACATTATTATCGCAGTGCAAAACATGGGGCACAGCTGCAAAAGTAGAGGTTAGAAGAAAGGTTAGTAGGTGGCCGCTTAGGGCCATCATAGCGTAAAAATGAACATGCTTCGAAACCCTTTTGTTGATCTTGAAGATCAATTGTTGACTTCCTTTCTCACGAATTTTATTTTTGGCGAATTGTGGGATTCATGCGAAGCATATAGGCTCAATCATACATCATGCGATTTCATCGTCTCGCAGTTCTTCCGACAAGCCTATAGTTACACGTCCCTTGCACGTCGATCAACTCGCATTGCAGTTGTGATAGTTAGTCTCGATTAGTCATGTCGGAAAACTATCACAACCGAAATTTAAAATGATTGGCATGCAATAAAATGGTAACGATTGTTGTGAGTAGTTAGTAAGCCAATCGAGGTTAGTATTTATTAGTAAGTGGCGGCCTAACGTTTCGAGCTATTCGTCTTCTTCAGAGGCCTCCTCCACCGCCGGCGCGCAGATGTTGAAAGCGGCCGTCCTTCAGTGCCACTGATACCAATAACTATACCACTGATACCATAGACTTGGAAACTGGTAACGATTGTCTTGTTGGGAGAACCGCGAGGCGATGAAATCACCTAATGTATGCCCTGCCCTTGTGGGGTCGATTGAGTGTAACCAACTTTTTATCAGCGGATGATTCTGTATGATTTTCTTGTTATAAAGATTATAAGAAATCTCGACGCTCATGTTGAATGTCATTGAGAATGTCATTGTTTGCTTGTACGCATCTTTGTCAAAATCGCGGCTTGCATGAGATTTGTGTACAGGCTATTTCAACTGATGTGTCTAGTGCACCAGCAACTAGGGTCCCACGCTGCCGCCTCACCTGGATTTTGCAACGCGTTCACAAATATGTCGTTTTCCCATGCCTTAGCGTGAGAAAAGGTCAAGAGTCGAGCTGCAGTCGTTCTTTAGGCCTGGGAAAATGGTCAAGGAACTCGTTGGCCAACGCGTTGCAAGCCCAAGCGAGGCGGGCGCGCGGAACCAAAACCGTTGGTGCACCCGACACTGCATTTGAGATAGCCTGTACATACAATTTCGGATTCAGTACTATATCATCTTTACAATCATAAGGTTTGAATATATGAATGGAGGCCAACTATGCAATGTATGAAATCATATAGAAGAATTCGCAGTGTCGCAGAATGCCTTTTTTCCAGGATGCAGCCCTCGCACCTACAGAAAAGAATTCAGAAGAACCTCCAGCCCCTGCAAGCTCCAAAAGAAAAGCTAGAGTAAGTGCGTTTGTCCTTTCTTTTTTTTCAGCCCACTCTGAATTTTGTTTCAGGCTAACTCTTATGACTGCAATTCTTGCAATTTTGCTGCTCAGACCAAGCGAAAACGAGAGGTAGACGGGTCGTCTGATGACACTGAATGGACGATGGAGTTAGGCAGCTTACTCTCTTTTTTCGAATCTGTTTTGAATAGTAGAGTAACAGCAATGCGTGTTCAAATCTGTCAAGGCGTGGGAGGAGTAAGTCGGCTCCATCTCTTGAACAAGCTGACGAATCTGACGATGAATCTTTTATTCGACCTAAAAAGGGTGCCAGCGATTTTATTCCTTTATATTCTACTAGGTTTAAGTTTTAAAGCCACGTATTCCAGACAAATCCTGCCCATTCTGTTGTTCGGTATTTTCTACGATGCAATCTCGTAAACGTCATATCATGAGGATGCATCCGGAAAGGGCTAACGATGAAGCCATTAATTTGCATATGTATAGATGTAAACCGACGGTAAGGAATTCTTGCATCAAAATACTTGAATATTGATTCTTTTCAGAAGGAGTTGCCTTTTGCTTGCGATCTATGTCATAAAATCTTTTCAAATATTTCTTCGCTGCATATGCACTGCAAAAGTATCCATGAGGGGAGGAGAGACTTTGTCTGCACTGTGTGCGAAAAAAGGTAACAACTGCAAACTTTTTAGTAGATTTTCAAATTTCTTATCTTACCTTGCTCCTTTCACGAAAGCAAGACATGGTTTTTCGTCTGCTACCCTAAAATCCGTGCAATAAGTCCGGACTTATCTGCAGTTTCGACGCGAAAAATCGATGAAAAAACGCCCTCTGCGCCGCCAAAAGTGTACCAGATAAGTCCTCCTAAATCCACTATCAGATAAGTCCGCAGCAGATAAGTTCGCCTATTCTGAGCATGAGAAAGCGGACTTATCTGCAGGACTCTTGGCGGCGCGAGAGCGACTTTCGTTGTCAAGAAAGCGGACTTAACTGTTAGTTCCTTTGCGGACTTATCTGATAGGGCGGACTTATCTGATAGGCGGACTTATTGTACGGATTTTAGGGTACTTAATTTACTAAACAGGCTACCAGGCCTACAACTTGGCCATCACTAAAATACGATTATAGCAGTATTTCAGTTATCCGCGAAGATGTGATCTACGAAAACACATGAAACGTGTTCATATGAAGAATATACTGAGTGCCTAACCAAGTAGGCCGTTTGTATCCAGCTGAGTTTTGACTTACGAGTATGGCTGTTTAATGAATCAGAATCCTTTGGATTTAATTCTTCTGTTTTTTTTTTGAATGAGTGGTATTGGCTTTTTGCTATCTGAGTCGTCGATCTCTATCCCAAACATGAAGCATTATTTTTCACACTTAGTTTCAAGGTCCGACCATTGCATAGCACATAGCGTTATCGGTGAGGTTGAACTTCGCCTTGTAGTTTTGTTAGATACCCTTTCATGTGTGAAACCATGTACCATGTACTCTGTGTTTTTGTGTTGATTGTACTTCGCTAGAGTAACTTACACCATCTAGCCATCCATCCAGTTGCGACTTTTGGGCTGTGTTCGTCTTGTGAGTCGCGATTGGCTGCGCTCAGCGCCAGGCTGCTCTGGCTACTTTTACAAATAATTTCGACATTTTTTTAAGCGCTGAAGCACATTTCAAAATCAATTTAAATTGTCTAGAAAGTTTAGATCCAACGAAAAGAAAGTTCACTCAATTTGAAGGGCAAAACGAATAGCATTTTTGATGACATATTATGGTCGTCGCTACAGCTTGTGTCAACCGCGTAATCCCTTTTTCATCCGCGCAGTCTCCACGCTAAAGTTTCGCGCTACATTCGCGCTCGTATGTTTGTGGCGTTCAAGTTGGCCTTATCGTTTGGAGGTCCGCACGCGCAGTTCTCACGCGAAAGGGACTACGTAATTGATACAGACTGTAACATATAGTGCCGTGACAGAGTGCAGATCGCAGTATCGAATGTTATAGTATTGCTAGGCTAAATCCAGGTATTGCTTTTACTCTACTGTCTACTGTCTTCAAACTTTCACTATTTAGTCGCTCGCTATGTCTGTGTATCCTATACGCGAAGCGGGTGATCACATTTAAGCATACTATAATTACAAGCAAGAATAACTTCCTAGTTACTGTTTTTTTTTGTGGTATAAGAGAAGACTTGCTGTTTGTTCCATTTCATGTTTCGCTTTATCATTTGTTTCTTGCAAATATATTCATTACTTGCATTTTTCGCTCCACATGATGTACCCCAGGTGTTCACTAATTTTTGCATCCCCTATGCATGCCTTAATAAAAGTTTCATATGATTCTCTCTTATCACAATGCAGGTATTGCCTCCAGTACAGCTGTAGTCGTCGTTTTTCCCCACATTTTCTTGTTGATAGAAAAAAATGTACTCGCCCTCCTTCCTTTCATATTATCTCCTCGTTGATAAAAAATTAACTCTTGTCGAGTGCCAAGTCCACTCTTCATCTCTCCCGCTTTCAACCGATCTCTGAAGAGCAGTTGCAGCGGCATTGTGCCTCGAGCAGCACCTGTCCAAGTTCCAACACACGGACCACAGTTTAAATAAGATCAATAGGCGCTGTGTCGATCGGCATCTCAGACGGCTGTTAAGTCGTCATAGTTGGGCTTTTGCGACTCAGCGATCTAGCATCTGTATTGTCCGACAAACGTTATGGTGGGTATTGCACTTGCAATCGCTCTTTTGAATTTGTTTTTGCTTTGCCCATAATTTCCATCACTTATTTTTCTTTAGCAATTTAACTTCAGTCCTCTTCAAGTTTTTACGCTATATACATCTTCAAAAATAAGCATCTTGCTATCTATACTCTGCTCCGATTTTCTGTCCATCCCAGTCCCACATTTTCAAGAAAAAAAAGAGCTTTATGTACTAATTTTTTCTTTTGCATTCGAATCTTATCATAGCCAGAAGTCCTGGGATCTATTCGTCAACTTTTTAGCTTGTGTTGCTTCTTCTTTACTACTCGCTTCTTCTAATGTGAGCCATAAATTTGCACTCTACCGGTAATTAACTACGACCAGCTCTTGACAGATCGCAGACAATCGTATTAATAGGCTCAGTAGATCTGCATTCGTAATCACTGATAATTTTTTTTTGATCCTTGAGTGTCCGAACTTCTTTTGTTTTCGTCAGCTCGCCCGAAAATTCGTAACCATCCCTCCTCAAAGCGTTCATTTGGGACCTGAGTTGTTTTGTCACTTCAGAATTTCTTGCTTTGTTTTGTGCCAACTGATACTTCTGCTGCAGATATTTTTCTGCTTAGTCTGCTACGCATCAAAAAACAATCAAATATAGATTACTTATTTTGACAAGTGAGATAGTGCTTCTGCTGTGACCACAATATTTGAGCGTAAAGAAATGCCATGCTCTTGAATGCCAGTAGCTTTCTCGCAACTTCTGCTCAAGAAATGAGTCCTGATCACTCTTTTCTTGGATTCATTTTTTTACTCACTCCGAGTACCACATCGACTCTTGCTTATCTCACAATCCGAAAATGATTCCAATACTTCCCATTTTTAGTTTAAGTCCACCTTGCGATCATTTTGTAGGCTATTATGAACACAGTCATAATGTCGCAAAGGCATTGCTCGCATTACACTTGAACTTCTAGAAACCGTTTTTGTACGTGCAGCGGAACTCATTTCCTGTTGTAATTCGAATTTCGCATTTTTTCATCTGTAGTCTACTGAGCCCGACAAAATTACACTGTGATTTTTTTTTGAGTCTGAAGTTCCAGCAAATTCGAGAGCTGACAATGAGACTTTGCGACACATTATCGCGATCCTATGTATGTTGTATATACTGCCTCTCACCTCGCAAGTTATTTGTGTGGTTGCACTAGATTGTCTAGAACGCTCTAACTCTTCATACAGTCGAGTAGATTTAGCGGTAAATATAGTGTGCTTGCACAGAAGGTGAAATGCGGTGAAATTTGCGCGTGAACAAGTAGCCACGTCAGTACCGCGGGTATCTTGCGCGCGCAATTGGCCGGCGTCACAGTCGAAACTATTTCTTCACGCGCCAATTTTACCGCATTTCACCTTCTGTGCAAGCACACTATATTTACCGCTAAATCTACTCGACTGTATGTGCCCTTGAATGAAGCTAAATCACTTCAAGGTTTTGATCTATTCCAGCCTGAGAGTCAACGCTTCATTGATTTTTTGTAGTTTTAAATTTATCGTTCGCAATTTTGTTGGTTTTTCTCCATTGTCGAGTGTTTCTTCGCCGTCTGTGTAGTAAAATCACATTGATATTCTTTTATATTTATATTTTGATGTGCAATCTCGTCCCTGGCGTATTTTGGTTTATAGCTCTCTAACAGATAGTTCATTACAGTTTTTTCATTGAATGACAGCTACGAAAAAGCTGCGCATTCTTTGTCTCCATGGATATCGACAAAATGATGTGCTGTTTCGTGAGAAGACTGGTAGCTTACGAAAACAATTCAAGAAATATGCGGATTTCGAATTTATGAGTGCTCCTCTGGTACCGAATGTCGATCCTGGAGAACGTGGTGACGTGCGGGGTTGGTGGTTCTCGAAAGAGGATAATCAGTTCAGTTCTCGTGACGTCTGCTCAATAGCGACAGGATTTGAACAATCGGTCAGTGGATTGTTTGATTTTTGTTTGAACCCTATTTTCCTCTTCCCTGTAGTCATTGCTAGCCTGTAGACATCCGTTTCGTGAGCTGTTGTGAGAAGTCAGCTGATATCTGCATGTTTCTTCACAAAGTCGGGAATGTGGCACGCGGCTGGTAGATATATGCGATTCATCTTCTTACATCCATCATCTCTAAGAAAATAATTGATGGAGTGGGAATGAGTTCTTGAAAGCTCTATGTTTACCCACATTATAGAGCGCTTGTCTACCTTGCTATTTGCCAGCCGGCCACTTGATCCTAATACATATCTATTTTTGAAGGCAATTTTTTCCTCCTTCTTCAAAATTTTGTATACTCTTGGTTTTTGTTCGCTAGCAGTGACATTTTTTCATGGCATAATGCTATAATGCTGAACTTTTACTTTATTGAACCGACTTTTCCCCGTTATACTGATTTCTTGGGAAAGGAAAACTGTAAAGAACTGTGTCATAATTCTTCACGAATAGCATGGCGACTGGTATATCATGTACTTTGTTCGAGAGCATGTAAATCTAGGGATATTCTAGTGCAACATAACGTTAGTTCGCCAGCCAGTCATGTGCCATCGAAATGTTCTTCTATTTTCAAGACCAGAGTTTTCGATTTTATTTCATCACCATCATGGAGACTTGTGGGAGATTTTAGCTCTCATTGGATTAAGGTGTCCCTCTACATGATAAAATAAATAAATAAATAAATAAATAGATAAAAATCCCAAACATTGTGTTGCGGCGAAATTCAACTTAACTGCTGTGAATGTCAGGGTGGTTCTCTTATTGATTATAGAAAGAGGAAGTCACTTTTTTTAAGCTTCTGTCACTTTTGGCGGTCTCGAATTTTTTGCAAGTAACTTACATGCGTCATAGAAATGTGCAAGTGACTTTTATAATTGTAAGCTGAGGAAGCTTCTTAAAAACCTTTGGAATGCGTGACGCCGCAGTTTTGTTCGGTAAAGTTTTTTGTCTCTGTCACTTCAAATTTTCAAATCCGCAATCCGCATCCGATCTATGACAGTGTGAGAATTTCTATCCTTGTTTGCTAGATACCTGTTTCTACCGGCGGTATTGCAGTAGAGTAGGTATTTTTGCTCATGTGTGCAACTGCACTATTTCCACGATATGTGCATTTATACTTTTCAAAACAGAGAATACCGAGAGGGGAAAAATTTATTGAATACTCGAGGTTAACCCATTCTGGAAAACATGTGATGCACAGATTAGCAAGGAAAGCTACTCCACTATAGAAGCCCGTTCGCCTCCTTGCCAGCTGCTCACAATCTAGCTTTATGATGATACATGTGCTCCATCATAGGGAACTTATTTGTTCGCTAGTTTTTCGGGATGTCGGATTTCTTTGAAGTCTGCTCGATCTTTGATGTTCAGTTTGAAAGGTCGATCACAGCCGAGCAGCTTTCCAGGTGGCAGCAGTGAGCGACTACGTGCATGCGAATGGCCCATTCGATGGGATCTTGGGATTCAGTCAGGGAGCATCGATGGCTCATTTATTGTTAGCTATGGAACAGCTCGGTGAAGTGAAGCTAGGATTTCGTTTTGCTATATTCTTCTCAAGTTTTTTGAGCTTATCCTCAGTTCATGATTCCTATACTAAGATGAAATTGACTATACCTAGTTTACATGTTTATGGTAGCAATGACCAAGTCGTTGCTTTCACGAATAGTGAGAAATTACAAGCTATGTTTAGCGATAGTGTATCGATTGTTCATGACGGGGGACATTTCATTCCTACAATGACTAAATATAAAGATGTTGCTATTAAATTCTTTGAGAGGTTTATTACTGAGCAATGATGCTTTTGATTCTTCCTCGTTACGGTTGTTATGGTTGTGATTGTTACACTGTGAATAAACTATCAATTTTTATGTTTTCTTTCTTGTTATATGTTATATCAGAACAATTATCTGGACATTTGGGCAGCTGTTAGCTTTTTTGCGAAGCTAGTTCTTAATCAATTGCAGAAATGTATAATCATGGGCAATTGCATTAGCGAAGACGCTCAACGAGGTCATAAAGATTTTTTGAAGAACGTCAAATGTGATCCAGAGAAGCAGGTTACGTCATTTCGTGTATACCTGCATAGAAGAAACAAATTTATCCACGGTAAGGGACATTTTTTGGTGGTAATTTTACATGTCTCTTTTCTGTCTAATTTTCCTAAGTTTTATTTCATTCATTTGTTCTAATCCTAATTTGATTATCTATTTATCTAATCTTGTTTTGATTTATTTATTTTGTGGTTATCTATAGACAATATAAGTACTTTCTAATTTTCCCTTTTCAAATGCGTTTTTCGAGGACCGCATATGATGGTTGGTGCAAAACGTCATTGAAGGTGATGTCTGCGTCTCTTCTGACCATGTTTTCTCTTTTCTGTAAGCGCGCAAAGACGGTATGGCTAGAAGAAACGCAGAGATTCTTTTCTGCGGTATGGAGTCACTCAATCAAACTGACATTAGATTAGTCACGCTTTGGAAAAAATTTTCCTTATTTTCACGAATCTTAAATAAATGTAAAATTCAAAAACTAGCTAAAGTGAAAATTTGGGTGTGCTTGAGAAAAGAAAGGGACTGTCGTTGATGAAATCTGAACAAGCCCCATTTCAGCCTGGCTACGAATCTCTGCTGAAGATGTTACACTGGAAAGGTCGAAAACAGACGTGATTGTTTGGCCGCTTCAGTTTTTGCGACGTTACGGCTATACTTCAGCTGGTATGTTCGAAGGTTTTCTAAGGTACTTTCATGATTGTCTTCCGATGTTTCCAGGTGTTTTCTTCTTTGAAAGTGGCAGACGTTGTCCTACCGGAGAGGGTTTACATACATTCCAAAGTCAAAATGCCGATGCTATCTTTCAGGTAAGGATTTGGCCGGTTTTCTTTTTTTTTATTTTTGAGTTCAGCTTGTACAATCACGGATACAAGACAATGCAAATATTCATCATGCTGAAACTATGAAACGTAATGAAAGGGCGAGGAGCACGGGGCCAACAATGGGTGCAGGTGTATCCTTACGATGTATAAATCCCATACAACGATATGGAAGTGAAGGTCCGTCATTTATTCAATATTTCGTAGCTTGCTCGAACTTCTTGGTCCTTCCATTTGCGAGCGGATTTTTCTTGCTCAGGTGCGGGGGTCGGCTCAGAATATCTCAATCACCCTTCAGGCTATAACTCCTATCATCGCGGTTCGGCACAGCGACTTCGCAATGTGGTCATACCTCCTCCACCGCGACCAAGGTTTGTGTTTACCTAGGGCCTTCAAGGGCAGGCGCCAGAAGTACCCACTTAGCCGCTCCATGATTGGTTGAATCAGCGATCTGACCAATTGTGAAGTGGCTAAGCGATTAAGCAGGTAAATCTGGCATCTGCACAACTTTTATACATGCAATCATATTTGTAGAAGTGTGGGTGAAGCCGACTCGGCATGTTTACCTCCTGACAGTTTTCACCCACATCGTCATAATACATTTGTGGATCAGCGAATCGTTGGAAATATTGTGTAAGCTTCAATCTTTTCCTTGGTAAGGTTTGGCTGAGGATTCTCCATGCTTGCAGCTCTGAAAACACGAATCCATCAGCCATGGATGATGCAACATTGGGCAGGAAAAGCTCAGCAGCGAGCCAATGTTCAAGTGTATTTTCTGTCCCCTATGTGAATATTTCTCCTCAAGAGGTTTTCATCGATGGTAAGGACTTCGACGGAGTCGTAATTGTCCTAAGGACGTAGGACTCCCTTTTCATCCAATTATGTTTGGAAATTTTAGCACCGCCCAGAACTCGCGGAGTATCCTCTTCGAGTAGCCAATGCAGTCTTCCACCTACACCCACACGAACAATGTTTCCATTGCGATGGTAAGGCTCTGTTTGCTTCTTTAGAGACTCTTTCAAAATATGCAGCTAACACCTTTTCATCATACGTGACGTGCTTGCAGGGATACTGGAGCAGGATCAACGAATGTGCTCTGCTATACCAAACCACTTTCACCGCCACCAAGTTACAGTAGTCATGACAATACATTGACAGTAGCCGATGCTACATCACCAGGACGTTATGTAAATATAACCGAGGTAGCTATTGCTTTTTGTCAAAATGGTAAAGCCGGGAGGGGGAAAAGGGTAGGAGAAGAAATAATTAACAATACCATATAACCGGTGCCCTACAAATTGCTGATCACTGAGAATTGTAGGATAGGATTTCTAATTTCCAGGCGGGCGGTAGAACGCTGCTGGAGCGAAATGGGAACAGCTCTCCACACGCACTCAATTATGCTGAAGTGGGTGTAGGAACCGAACCTGAACGAGTCCCAAGCAGGTACTGGTTTGTCTTGATGGAATTGATAATATAGTATGTTTCTACACCTAGATGCTCATCTGTGGGCCAACGTCCTGATGGTGAAAATGGCGTTCCAGTAAATTATACACTGATTGATGCCGAAAAGACTAGAGCATTGCAAGCAGCTAATGCCGCAAATGGAGAACGACGAAGGAATCTTACAGGACATTAGGATCGCACACCATCACAATGTGGATCTCAGCTCTTGTTTCTCTTCTGCTTTTATCTACATACGCATGTCAGTCCATCCATGTGACATTGGCTTTGCTTCGATGCTTTTGATGGTATGGCAGTAATTTGAAAGGCTTCGATACTGGACGTAATTACGGACTGCCTGTATCACTTCTAGGCAGACCGTTCTCTCGTAATCCGCGATTAAGATCAGTCCACGCGGAGGGAAGTTACAATCATGATGAATTCCTCTTTCCTCTCATGTACACAAGTGTCGTTCATATGATTGGTGTCATACTTGTCCAGAATCGGGTCTAGCTCAATCCAGAGGCGGTCAGGATCCATTTCGGATCCGAATTTGACTGGGATACCTGCGGCGTGACTGCAGCCGTTAGCAAGTGAATGCGGCCGCTGCGCGAGATCCCGAATGGATATTCGAATCTCACTGTGACACCACTTTACAGTGCACTTCCTCACATAAAATCTGTGTGTCGCACGACACCGAAGTTAGGTTCGACGCGGTATACACTGAGGATTTCGTCTTACCATGCTGTTCAATTTTCTTTTGGAATTATTTGTACTGTTCATTCGTTATTGTTATTCATATACTTATTTTCTTCACATCATTGCTTTACACAAAGCTTTCTTTCCTATTTCGTTTTCCCTCTACGTTGTTTTAGATGTCTTGTTCTTGCCATATTGCAATCTTGCTCCTGATACCTTTTGTGCCTTGCCTTTTTTGGTGCTACATTATCTACTTCGCGCGTCTTCCACCAAATTGTCTATCCAACAGATTCGTCATACCTCATCATCTAATTCTTGCTTTCTGTATCAAAGCTCACAGTTATTTTTATTTCTAAATTGAACTTTTCGGCTTTACAAATTTGATCGTCATTGTGCATGCTGCCCGGTTGAATTCTAATCTCTGCATATTTTTTCAACAAAATTGATATGGTGCTAAAATCTGTTCTTGTTCTCAGTAAAAGAGTTTTTAACTTGTAAAAAGTGCTGATATAAAGAAGAACAAAACAGCACTAACATTCATATCGCATATGATATACATTGGTAAAACCAGTAGTCAACGATTAAAACACTCGCTATCTACATGCACAATGGAACATAATTTACATGCGTAAAAGTAGGGATTGAAACACCGAGGTTCGTGTTCGTTACAGACATTCGAAGCGCTCACCTACGATTTTCAGATTCAGGCATTTGCTGGCAGGCCACACATTGAACAATCCGGTCGTTGTTCGCTGTTCTCGAAAGTGCAGTGTTTACATGACCAAGTTGTTGTAGAGGCTGACGCGTGACCTTTAAGAAAGATGGTGATTAGCATAGTTAGCAGAATTGCATGGTTAAGGCAGGCGCCAGATTACCGGTTCAATCGGTTCGGCTCACCCATTCGCTATTCGTCAAAACAAGGAACGGACCAATGGCGATTGGGGTGAAACCGCATGAACCGGTGGAACCGGTTAAAGGCAGCGTCCAGGCAGATCTGGACCTATGGGGATTTACGTGGAAAGTACTTTTGAGGCCCTAACTAAGGCACTGCTGAAGCGGCAGCGCAGGTAGTGCTCTAACGGCTAAGATATTCCCCTCGAAACTGGACCGCGGTCGTATTCGCATGGATTCGTGGCGTTTCGCGCCCGGACACACCCTTTGCGCCATGAATCCATGCGACATCGCGGGGTCCAGTGTCGAGGGGAATATCTCAGCCATTAGAGCACTACCTGAGCTGCCGATTGGGCAGTGGCTTAGGGCCCAAAATTACTATCCACGTGAGATCCCCATGTGTCCAGACTTACCTGGACGCTGCCTTCAAGTCTGGCACCTCTTTAAGTAAATAGATGGCTGTTTGAAAATGAAAATAATGGAAAAAATGGCTGAATTAAGTAATCGGAGTTACAACGAATGTTATCTTTTGCGATTTCTCAAATATGAAAAAAAATGAGTGGAACCTTTTCGACCCTGACTCGAATAAAATACACTTACTATGTCCCTGCTCGTGACACACAGCTACCAGCTGCTGCCAGTTGAGCGTTTCTCGAGCCCATTCGATTGCCATTTCTCGGTCTTGCGTAGAGACAGCAAAACACAATTTCTGCAAAAAAAAACGAGAAATATCGAAAAGATAAAAATAAACAAGATAATCACGAACATGAATTTCAGCCTCCGTAAACTGCACGAGATGATTTGTCATCAGGTACAGCAAGAAGTGGAAATTCGTCGCCTGCTCAAGGAAGTCGTTCAGTGAATACTCGGAACAGTACTGACTCAAATTTGTTCCTCCCTAAAAAATATAACGAAAACCATTTTAAGAATTAGAAAAACAATGACCTTAGAAAAAAGACCGTGGAACATGGATGTACCTGAATTTCTCCCATTGATTCCCTGTTCTCAATAGCAAAACGAGTACTTTTTGGAACCGAGAAAGTGTATTGTGGCTCTTTGGGCATTCCAGTAGGAACATCAACCTGACAAAAAAGTGGATGAAATAGGATGGAGAAAAATTTAGATAATCAAAACATACCAATAAAAATTCAACTGGCAGTGGACGTCCATCCTTCAGCACTTCAGCACCGTACTGATTTTTCTCCTATAAGTAATATTTGCACTCTAAGTATTGCCGCTAGCGATGATGACTCACTGTATATTGCACATCTGTCAAGTACTGCGTCTCCGTCAAGGGCTTATCTCGTATATACGCGAGCTCCGGATGATTTGTGGGGCACAGAAGTTCCGCTTCAACTAGTGCAGTGCACTGGTTCGATACCTACGGAGAGCCGGTTTTCAGATTTTACTGCTGTAGTGAAGGAGATCATTAAAAAAAGTAGTAAAGGGATCCTCGAAAACAAAAACAAGAAAAGGAACTTGAAGGGATTAGGCCAAAAAAGTTCAACACACCTGCCAGCCATGGAAGTTGACTTGTTCTTGCTCGTCACCACTAGCAACTACTGTGACGAACTTGGAGCCGAAGTGTCGATCGGAGCAGTAGTCGGTGATATTGGGATGCTTAGATTGCAGATAACCGGCAGTGATACACTCTTCAGCCGACAAAAAGAAGGAATTCTGGAAACAGCGAAAGATGCACCCTGGCTAACAAAAGAAAACGCCTCTGGAAAAATTTACGTTTTGGAGTAAAAATATTAACATTTGACTCTCTAGCGAAAAATATTTTCACCACTATATATACACTATACATTATACATACATACACAATACATTACACTACCACTATACATTCCAGAAAGAAAAACCAGGACAGATCCGCAGTTTCCAGCTTATGATCCAGAATGCAAGTGAACAGCTTTTTGACCCAAACCTTATGCCTTGTGCAGTGTACGGTTCCCTTGACTTGATCAGCAGACCATAGATCGGTAAAAATCCAACCAACGCGTCTCAGACCTAACCAGCCACATAGTTGATCAACTGCCTAGAAGAAAACAATATATACTTAACAGTAAAAAAAGAAATAGAAACAACCTTTTCATTCGGATCAACGCTCAATTCCACACCATCGGGACTAGAGGTTTGCGGCGGTTCATAGATTGCCGCCACCGTAGCTTTTATACCAAGAGGCACATCCGCAAAAGGTTGATATCTGAAATTTCAACAGCACTTCGATAATCTCGCGTTGTAAACTCACTTTCCAATCAGAAAACCAACGCGCTGGTTCCCGGTTGTTCTCCAGAAGTTTAGAAAATCATTAACAAGGTCTTGATTTTCGAAGAATATGTTGTCAACATGTCGATATTTCTGCAAAAAACCCATGAAGTATGAGGATAGCACGCATGGAAATCTATTGTGCGATTCAGCAAAATTTCAAAAAAAAAATGAGATGACAACGCAGGATGAAGATTTGTAGGGTGTGAGAACATCAAATAGCCGCAGTCAAACTATAGGGCTTTTGCCAGATAGTGGAGGTTGGGTATTGCCTATAGATGCTTCCAAGAACTCACAAGGCCCCAAATTGGTCGAACAACCCCTCTACTTTTCAAATCGCCCCGAGTGATTGAAAGTTATTATATGATGGGAGAAAAACATTTGCAAAAAGAAAAAAGAAATCTCCTCACGGACCTTCAGCCAGGTACAGCCCTATACCTACTCTTTTGACATTTCATGCGCGTGCTGTGACAGCACACTACGTAAAAGTCTCATTAAAAGAAGTGATTTGTTTTATAGTTAAATAAATGTCATGTCCGAATCTGATAACGAGTCTGATCACATAAACGCAACAGCAACAGGAAAGATGAATGATACCGAGGCATTAAAAAACTTATAAGAAAAGAAACACAACTGGAATAGGAACATACCTGTCGATTCAAAGTCATTACTGGTGGTTTACATTTCGTACAAACTCCTAGCGGGTATGGCTTATGCGCTGGACAATTCAAGTTTATTGAACACCTGCAAAACCGATCCAGATGTGTACCAATACCCGAAATCTGCAAGCTCCTTACCGTATATTTTCTAAGGGGCGCTTCAACTGAGAGCCTTTACCATGTCCTGATGTCAGCTTTCTAACATGTGCATGGAACGACATATGTTTGATATCCTTAGATTTGAGATATTCTTCATCGTATGGCTGCAACAGTATATAATTTATATTGAGATTTCCAGTAAATGAAGATCGTTGCAGTGGTCGAAACTGGATTATTTCTATTCATCAATAACCATGCCACTGCATAGGCTGATAAATGAGGCTATTCTTGCTTGGCCTAGGCGGGCACATTTTTGGCAATCCAAAGACGACTACAATCTAATATGTAAAGAATTGTAAAGTGCATTCAAAATAACTCAGATAGCGGGAAACCGAGCGGGTCCCGAAGCGAGCGCTCCTGCGACTATCACCTTTGAGTTTACTGACTCACTAGTAATGGGAAAAAAAAAAGGAAAAATAGATGTCTCCGGACGTTTTCAACCTAGAAACGTATAGTTCGCTTTCACTCCACAAAAATTGCACAATTCACAGTGATTTGAATATTAGAACGTGAAGGCCAAAACGTTGGCTAAAATCTCGCGCCCACAGCTATACCTTTGGTCGCAACGAATGAGATGGAGTTTAGCACGTGCTATAGCAAATCATACACGTGACGCAAAACCATGACGATGCACAAGCGCGTGACCCTGTTTCGGTTTGATCTCGGTTGGTATAGACTGTAACTACCGTTTTCCACGCTGCAGTCATTTTCTGTGATTACACTATTTTTCAAATTTGCACTGTCGATGTTCATAGATTACACCCTCTTTCTAAACTCGTTCGTAGTTTCACATATTTTTAACCTTAACTTTCTCATCTATAACAGCACTACCGCCACAGACCCCTCCGCTACAGGATCCACAGGTGGTGTAACCACACAAAGGGACTGCAGGGATGGGATATTGTATGGATCATTTTTGAAATCGTGACGACGAGTCTAACTGCGGTCTTTGCGCACATAGGAGCATAAAACACACAATCAGGCATCACCTCAAAGCTCAGCTCATTCACTTCCATATGTTAGCAGAAAAACCATTTGAGTAATAGAAACCAAGAAAGGGGAGTGCGTGCGTGTCGCGCGCGGTCGCGCCATCGTCACGATTTTTCGAGTGCCCTATATATGCGCAGTCTCATACAAAGACAACCAAGCTTCTTTTCGCTCATTCTTGGAAAGTATATGAAGAAGGAAAGCATATTACTGAGAGATAAATAATGCACCATAAAAACAAAACAAAAATGACAGTACTCACGTCTATTGGCAGACAATGGGCGCATTTCTGCCGTGCATTGTGATGACACATCTTTGGATCTCGTGAGCGTTTGATTTGTCCATCTTCTGCGGCAAGAATTACATCTACTTCATCGAGTTTGTCCTTGTCACTGGCTTCAATTACCATATTCTGCAATAAATTGTTAGAATGTGTACAGTAAATAGAAAGCAATAAATTTTGTTCACGGCAAAAGAAGGTAAAGTTCGACCAAAGAACCAAACCAGCGTTTCAAAAACAAATGTCATGCAAAATGTATTGCAACATGCGCAGACGTGGATTTCTTTGCGAGGTACGCAATGCTATCTCACAACGATTGTGGTGTTTACCGTAATGACAACAATGTAAACAACCCAGTCGCTGTTGTTGATGTCCATCTGGAACCATCTACTCTGCCGTGCAAGGATGGCGCACACCAAATGCAGATTCACCGGTAAGGGAACGGCCATAGGTTGTCGATGTTGTCGGTGTTGTCGGTGTTGTCGGTGTTGTCGGTGTTGTCGATGTTGCCGGTGTTGTCGGTGTTGTCGATGTTGTCGATGTTGTCGGTGTTGTCGGTGTTGTCGATGTTGTCGGTGTTGTCGATGTTGTCGGTGTTGTCGGAGTTGTCGGGGTCAGAGACAGTTTAGAGAGCGCGCGAAACGTGGAGGCTATCATGAGGTCCTACAACGACCGGCAACCTCGGCAAGCCCGACAACCCCGACAACACCGACAACATCGACAACACCGACAACACCGACAACATCGACAACACCGACAACACCGACAACACCGACAACATCGACAACACCGACAACCTATGGCCGTTCCCTAAGTGAAGTATTTCGAAACCCTCACTTTTCCTTTGCAGTTTCATTTTTTTAGACAAACCATACTTGAGAAGTGACGTCTACCGATGTGCAGTACCAGATGACAAAGTGAAATGGAGCGTAAATTTCCCTGACTATAAGCCACCCGATTACACCGATCCGAAGACGAACGGAAAAGATTGGGCAGATCCTGAACCAGCGAAAGGAAAATTCAAATGGAATGCTGTAGATGGCAAAGTGAACCGAGAGTCATTCGTCTGGTGAGCCATGTTGTGAGAATAATCTATCCTGACATAAAGAAAGAGAGTATAGGTTTCTTATACAAATCCAAGGTTTTTATAAAGGTGGAACAGTTCATCAGCCCTGCCACATACTTTCGTTCGCTTCACACAAAATCCCCAGTGTCTGTGGAAAAAGAGTGCCTTGGTTTGGGAAAAATTGAATTTTAATGTCAGGTCTCATCTGAATATCGCTCAAGCGCAAGCGCGTTCGATTCATTCATAACTGAGAAATTCAGGTCCAAACTCCTGCCCGATACCGTACTCGAGAGTGCTGATTGGACAGCTGTGAAAGAGTACGGTACTGGGCGAGAATATAGATCTGATTTTCTTGGCCACGAAATCATATGACCTGTCACTTGGCATGTGCTTAGTTGAGGGTTGCCAATCAAATTTCATTTGAAAAAAATCCAGGTGCTCAGATTTGCAATGACACTGGCTTCACAAGGGCTCTTTCCAATTCTGCTTCTTCGCCTTGACCGCCCTAGTGCGCGCATTCTAGTCTTACCCATTGATTCAACGGGCGGCTGGTATGCGGGGCTTCCAAGCCTAATGAAGGCTAGATTACTATCAAAGAACGCGTTCGCGAGGGAGACGCAGACTGCGTCGCCGGCGCGAGCGGTCGCCTTTCAGCCACCAATCCCGTTGAATCAGTCGATACTTAGGGGCTTTTTTTTTCAATTAATATACACTTTGGATGTCCTAAAATCATTGATTGTAGCGAGTACTCCTTCGACAAGGATTCTCGACCTATCAATCCTATCGGCAGAACGGGACTCCGAGGAAGAGGTGCTTTGGGAAGGTGCTCTTGTTTTTAATCTTATTTGCTTTTATTGTCGACTGTGATTACAGATGGGGTCCAAATCACGCTGCTGACCCTCTGGTGACAAGGGTCAAGGACGGCAAATTGCAGTTCGTTGCTATCGAGCGTGGAGATACTGGTATGTTTGTGGTCAATTACAATTTCTTTCACTTTCACTAGTCTACCCATTCTTTAGGTGAGTGGGCTATTCCTGGTGGAATGGTGGATGCTGGCGAAATTGTCTCGGAGACCTTGAAGAGAGAGTTTTCTGAAGAAACCATGGGCGGAAAAATGGAAGCGCAAATGGAAGAGCTTTGGAAGGAAGGAGTCGAAATATACAAGTAATCTTGTAATCGTAACTTGCTTTATGTATCTTATAAGGAACGAAATCTAGGGGATATGTTGACGACCCAAGAAATACCGATAATGCTTGGATGGAGACCACCTGCATGAATTTTCACGATACCAAAGGATTTTTGGATAAAGTAGAGCTGAAGGTACGACATGGCTTATTGTAGACATGATGCGGCCGTCTTCTTTAGAGAGTACCAACTCGCTTCTTTTTAATCTGTATGTTTTTTTCAGGCAGGTAGTGATGCTTCTAACGTGAGATGGATTGATGCCGATGCTAATGAGCCTCTCTACGCTTCACACGAACATTTTATAGAGCTGCTGAAAGAACACCATAAGAACAAGAAAAATTGAAGTTGCATCAGCCTGCCAGTTCACCTTTGGAAAAACCAAACCGAGTATTTTTTCAAAAGATTCTATGCGAACGCGTAACGGTCGCCTTGTATCAGTGTATGTATGTGTGTATGTATGTATGTATGTATGTATGTATGTATGTATGTATGTATGTGCACAGTAGAAAAATCCATTTTTGCTATGGAGGGGACTTTGCAGATTCTTCATAGTGGAGGTGGGGGGGGGGGGAGGAGTGTCATGCTACTTTTCGTCATCAATCGATATCGATTCATTGATGTTTAGCGACTCTGAGCCATGGACTGCGGAGGAGTAAGTGAACGTGCTTATCACAAATGCAATACTCATCTTCACAATCATCGATACCTCTACTTTTTATCGTCTTCAAAGTTTAAGTTGAGGCATTAAGAGGTAGTAGAGGGAGGGGAGAAATGAGAATGCTGATTACGAAGACGCTATCTTTCAAAATCACCCACTGCACTCGATTTTTTGCAAACTTTCAGCTATGGCAAGAGTTGTCAAGGGGGAATTGAGCGTGCTAATCACGAAAATACTAGGGGGGGGGGGGGGTGGCAGGAAATTGGTATATGAGAGACAGGAGAATTTCGTGTTGAAGTGGGACGAAGGGTAATCCCTACCTACGATAGTTGTCGTCAAGAACCGAGTGGAGCCGGTTATGCCACCTAGCATCGTAAAACAAAATCTTGCATTGAACATGAAACGTCTTCGCGTCCTCATCTAATTTTAGATGTGATGTTTAGTACACTAACTACCTCATAGGAGTTGTTGATTGGTTGTACCTATTGCTCAGTTCATTGTTTTTGATGTATTCTATTCTTGCTTTTAGTCAGAATTTTATACTTTGATAGTCGCAATAAATAAACTGTAAGCATGTTTGATCTGTATGCTTGTCGCATGTCGAAATCATCGCGTAGCAACACTTATTGTGAGTATACGATGGAAGTACTTGCAGTGATAAGTCCCAAAGAGTGTTGGGGATTTGCCACGGAAGGAGAAGCCTCAGGAGGAAAAAATAAAGGAAGAGAAAAGTACCTATTTCTACGTGTCGTCTGTCCGCCACACCCCAGAGAGGTTTAAATAGTCCATCACTCGTGGCTGCCTTTCGATCGTTTGAACACGTTAACTTTAGCAAATTTGTGGCCGCTCATTGACACGTTGAAGGCAGTGTCCGGGCAAGAACTCGATCGAGATTTTGTGCTTACCCGGGCCTATTCGCTATTACGATCCACATGGAGAGCGCGAAAACGAAAAAGGGCTCTAACACTGGAGGGAAATCCAAGTGGGCGGGGTCTTCCCCACTGTGAATTCACGCTTCCAGCTTCTAGAGCAATTTTCTCTCGTTAGCCGCCCTGACATCACTACCGATCAGTGGCGTACCGAGGGGGGGGGGGGGAGGGGCGGGGGGGGGGGGGGGGCGCCCCCCTCCCCCCCGAGAATGGGTCGCGAAATTTTTGAAAGTTACTCATAAGGGTTATAAAAATGTGCAAATGACTTGTTTATACTAATAATTAAAATATTTTTTAAAATTTTTTAAAAATTCGAATTAGCTTTATAAAAAAGATTTTCCCCTTTTTCTGGACTTTCGGGGTTATGAGGCCGCGAAGATTTTTGAAACCATCCCCAAAAATTTTTCGGAGTGCGTGGCTAACGCCACGCACCTTCATTAGAAAAAAATTTTTATCGCGCCCCCCCCCCTCCCCCGAGCCAAAATCCTGGGTACGCCACTGCTGCCGATCAAATGCAAACGAATGACTCGAAACCGGAATCAAATAGATCGCCCCCGAAGCTGGGAGCGTGAATTCACACTGGGGAAGACCCCGCCCACTTGCTGATTTCCCTCCAGTGTTAAGGCCCTTTTTCGTCGTTTTCGCGCTCTCCAATGTGAATTTTCGGATTAGCATAGCGAATAGGCCCGGGTAAGCACAAAATCTCAAAAATGTTTTTGCCCGGACACTGCCTTTAAACTCGATTTTGAGATTTTGTGCTTGTATAGGCCTATTCGCCATGCTGAATCCGAAAATCCACATTGGAAAGCGCGAAAACGGCGAAAAAGGGCTCTAATATAGGAGGGAAATCAGCAGGTGGGCGGGGCTTTCACAGTGCGATTTCACGCTCCCAGCTCCCGGAGCATTTTCTCGATTCCGCTAGCCGTTCTAACATCGCTACCGGCCAAGTGCGAATGATTGACTTGAAACCGGTAGCGAGAAGGTTGCTCCGGAAGCCGGGAACGTGAATTCGCAGTGGGAGGACTCCGCCCACCTGCTCATTTCCCTCCTGTGTTAGAGTCGTTTTTCGCCATTTTCGCGCTCTATGTGCATTTTCGGATTCAGCGTAGCGAATAGGCCCTAGTAAGCAAAAATCTCAAAATCGAGTTTTTGCCCGGACACTGCCTCTAAAGGCACCGTCCACCCAAAATTTCCACCTCCATGTTTTTGCCGTTCCAGGGCCTTCTCATACCCCTGATTCCGAATATTAAGTTGAAAATCCGCGAAAACCACTAAAAACCCCCGTTTTCAGAACCCGCAAAGCGATCTCATCTGAACGGTGATTGGTTGGGCGCGTAAGGATGGACGGGACGAACGTCACGCCCACCAGAAAGGGGAGGAGCCAACGTGGCGAACCTAACCTGAAGCGACTTCCGAAGCAATTTTCTCGGTTTGGAAGCAACTTCAGGCAGTGCGAGTTGGGCAATCATACAGTTGGGGGCCCTGCATCTACTAGGTATCATAATCTCACCAACCCCATTTTGGGTGGACGTTGCCTTTAAAATTAAAAGGAGCCACGTGGGTGTGTGCAATTGACGGTACACATGAGAACCTCTCTCGGGCACAGATGATACCACATCAGCTCGCTGCCTTCCGCTCTTCTCACAGTTAACTTCAGCCGATTCAAGGCATCTTCTAAAAGTAAACGCGTCAAAGATCGAACAACATCGAGCCGACCTATGGGAACATTTCTGGAAGACAGATCATATACGCAAACAGTTGGCAAGAGTAACTCCGTGATCCTTGAAGGCACTCGCCCACGCTGAAGTGGGGAGGTGCGAGACATAGCAAGATATGCGGAAGACGAGTACGCGCTAAATGAGAGCAATGTAAAGGCTACTGCCGGACGAAAGGGCAAAGCAGTTTAGAAGAGCGGTCACGAACGCGTGCGCTTGTCTGTACGGCTTTTGCGCGGTGTAAATTCTGCGCCTCATGCGCTCTGCGGCTAATAAAACTGTGTTCGCGTGCGTCCCTAGTTGGTGCGCCTTCGGGGGAACACGCGGAAGGCGACAAATGCCCTGGAACGGGCGCGACTAGTGGCCACGCCCTGTCCGAGTTCTCCGCCAATCAGCCATTCAAATCTTTGTACTGGAGCGCGACTGCACGCTTTCTACATCTTCATTTACTAGTTGTATATCTTTCACGTTCTGTGTAAACATCTTTGCTCGCAGGAGTAATGTTTGATGCAGGAGTCCTCATAGAAGACGTACTCTGACATTCGGTCCGTGCGGCGCGCGCGTGCTCCCCGTGCGGCGCCTTGTAGTGCGAGGGGGCCGAACGGTGAATGGGCGCGCGCCGAACGGTAAATGCGCGCGGGCCGAACGATAAATGCGCGCGGGCCGCACGGCGTCGAAAGCGCTCCGTCCGCAAGCTACTGGAGAAAAATTTTTTTCATAAAGCTTCTTTTTCGTCTTTCGTCGTGCCGTGAGCATTCTCAACTTCACAGTCCAAAAATAATTCCGAATTTAGAAAATTCGAAAATTTGAATTTGAATTCATAGAATTCAAAAATTCAATTTTAGCATCCATTTGGGAAGTTGTCGAGGGTTAACCCTCGTAGAAGCCGAAAACCTTTCATTTTCATGCGATTACTTAAATGCCAAGAAGTGATAAGCCGGCTTCACGAGCGATGGAGCAGCCTAATCACAGCGTCGTACCTCACGCGGGTACCTATCACGCTTATAGCGTGTAAGAAATGGAGGCGCGCGGGCGGCACGGCGAGAGTATGTATAGTGCGCGCGGGCCGTACGCTAAGGATGCAAGGCGCGCGGGCCGTGCGGTACGTGACCCGGCCCGTAAATCTAGCGCGCGGGCCGCACTGCTGGCTATTAACAAGCGCGCGCTGCACGCACCGAATGTCAGAGTACATACACATGAGCGACTTAAAAGGACTTGTCCACTGATTCTTCAGAGGTATGATTTTTTCTTGTGTCCTGTGCTTTTCTACTGCATTTTACAATTTGCTTATTTAGTCAATATCACTTTATGAATGTTCTCGCCTTACTCATAGTTAGCATTTTTTGTCATCATCAAATTGTTTGTGCGACTTATTCATTTCGTTTTAGTTCAGATATACGCAGAAAGTCCTTGCTTTCAACTTCGTGAGCCATAGCTATGGGACGTACGGTATATGCCCAACTTCCATCGGCTGCGAGATAACGTGCTCCAAACAAATAGAGCCCCAAACCTTGTTAGAAGACCTTATTTTCAGCAGTGTTTTCTTCAGACACACTACCATAAAGAAACTATAAAACTTCTTACTAGTTACAGTGTTACTTTTCCCTATAAACTTCAAAATCGCTAAAGTCATATGGATTAAGGTTATTTTTCCTGGCGATTCCATGTTGTATCATTATAATGATGTCGACTTTGGTATCTAGCTCATTTCTACACATTTGCGCTAGGTGCACAGTCTAGATTCAAGATTAGTGCAGCAGGGAAGTTGACTTTGTGATTTACTTGGATACGTCTTGAATAATGCCTTGTGTGATCATGTTCTTAGGAAACCTACTGCAAAAAATGTTTCGATCATTCCAAGAATGACATTGCGCACCGCACAGAAAATCTTTGGGGAGAATAAAAAGGTAAAGAAGTACATGCTTACTGAACTGTAAGGCATGCGTCAGCTGTTGGATCAAATTCATCTCAAATCGAAACAAATAATACAATTTTGGGGCAGAAACGCTTCTCCTCGGAATACCACAAACGGTGGCGAAACACACTCTACTGAAGATATTGGGAACGACAAAAATCAAGAGTAGTGAACGAACCGTTTGTTTTGGAATTAACACACATCAACACCGGCTAAATTTTTTGGGCAAATCCGCGACTTCGGCTTTGCTCATGCTTTATCTGAATGAGAAGAAGAGGATAGTAGAAAAGAGGGAATTAACAAAAAGATACGTCTATGTGACTACCTTACGTAACTATGCAAGAAAAGAAATCGCAATTAGTTCATCTCAATTCCGCATAAAAATAGCCCCAGTGACATAAGAGTCAACTGAAAAAAGCAATTTTGAAGTTTCTAGACGGAAGAGAGATGCTGCACCGGGGAAAAATTTGAGATTTCACTCTCGATAGTGTGTCTGAAGAAAATACGTCGAAAATAAGGTCTTTAAACAAGATTAGGGCTCTGTTTGTTTGTAGCGCGTTATCTCGTAGCCGATGGAAGTTGGGCATATACCGTACGTCATAGCTATGGACTTATGAAAGGTAAGCGCCCTCACTCACTTCTTTTCTGCTTTAACATCGCAAACCGTTTTCTGTCATTGAAGGGTGGATGTCCATAAGTGCATTCGAACAGAGACGAGCTCAAGAGCCATTGATGTGAGCATTCTGTAATTGTGCTACTTACGCTCGAGTTATCAATGCTAGATGTTGCTTTTTCTCACTTTTGTGCATTTATATGGTTTTTCAATATCGTTATCTAAGGGTCGTAGATTCTTTTCTTTTCTCAAAGAGATGGTAAGTTAACGTGACTTCACTCACTTGTAAGCCATATCATTTATCATTGTATCATTTCCTTTTTGTCCTATACTTTGGTGCAATTTCTGTTGTGAATAAAGTGTTCTTTTTTGCACTGTCAAGCAAAACAGCAGAAAAACTATGAAAACTTGAAGCATTGACAAAGACCATAGGTCGCGAAGCTTTCTCGAGTTTGCGGTTCGCCTAGATACAAACTAATGTTGACATTTCGCCAGAAAATGAGGTTTTTCTTACTTTGAGCCTTGAAAGGAACTGCTTTGCAACATTCATTGTGTTCAATTCAATTCTATCCGAATGATCATGACTTATAATAACCTAAGGATGTTTACGTGACTTTGTGTGTGTGTTTGTCTGTCTGTTACGAAATTCGTAGAGCGTGTTCCAGCCAACGTCCTGAGCCCAAATATTGCACAGCACATGCTACCAGCACAAAACTCCACCATGCAAAAGCATGAGCGGATTCGTTGATTGGAACTCACAGAAATTGCGCGTAAAACGGGTCCACTTCGCTTCTGACCTACAAAATTGGGTCCTATTAGCACTTTTTGCGAAGTCGTTGAGGTGTTTGACAACTAAATGTGCAAGCCTTGGACTCCAGCTCAAATAATGGGCAGAAATCTACTACTTTGAAAAAATGACGCCAAAATGGATTGGTTGCCTAAATGGTCAATTTGAAAACGTTCTACTGGCGCATTTGAGAAGATTTTTACGCAGAGGTGTTGCTCACGGTGGCTATTGGCTTTATGGCAACTACCAAACCATAAAACGTCCAGGAACCCACTCAAATTTGCATTTGTTCTTCGGCGAAAAGTTTCATCCTCGCGAAATCACCAATCTCACGTGAAGAAGCTGTTAAAATGAGTTGTTGTTTACATCCTATTCGTGGTAGTCGGCCACTGCGCGGTGAGTTTCAATGCCATCATTATGAAAAAGTAATGAGGCATATGGATAGTAGAGCCAGTGCGAGCCTCTGCGAAGCAGAGGTGAAGCACTGGTAGCCACATAACCGCATAGTACACTGATGCAACTCGGTTATTCTCACTTAATCTGGAAGTCAATCGAAATATGGTTTGTGAGCAGCATGTGACCGAAATCGAATTTAGCTGCGAAATCTCACACTGCAATCAGTTAGCTATCATTAAACAATCTACAGTTCTACACTGAAATACGTAACCTTTCCTTCGTACATTGAGTGATCACTCCTACCAATTTGCACACGAACTCTCATGGACAAAACAGAGTAGTCGAGGAGGACATCGCCACCATTCACGCGCCAGCCTATGCGCCACAAGAGCGTCAATCTGTCTAATTGACTCGAGGCCAGCACTAAACAGCAGGCAAGTTGGAGGCGTGGCCACCGTTCCCTCGCCTCTACTGGATTTTGTCGCCTTCCGCACCACACCCGCGCCTTCGTCGGGCAGTAGCCTGTAAAACCTTCCTCGCTAACTTCTACGGAATTTCATAACGGTATTGAGTCATGTATATGACTGCACGAAATCGTACGGGCAACGCCCGCGCGCGCGTCTCTTGCGGGCTAACATTGGCATTCGCGCGCATGAGTCAGCATAGCGTCCGTACTCGGCAGCCGCATTGCAGGCACGCTCGCGTGCGTTCAGCCTACAGCGATCCGGGCGACTTCGTGCAGTCAACTTTATCTGCCCCAGCCTTCCCTTGCTTGCCGCCAAGTCACTTAAACGCCAGAATTTTTTGAGGCAGGCGCCGACGGACGATCGCCAATCGCTACGACTGGCGATCGCCAGTCGCCAATACTGGCGACTTCTTCTATGCGTATCGATCGCTAACAAGTTACCACACGTCCAATTGACACACATTTAACACTGGCGACTGGCGATCGCCAATATCGGCGACAAAAATCGCCAGTTTTACACGTACTTGATGCCTATCGATCGTCGCTATGCTATACTCCTCGAGGAATATAGCGCCTGCCTGAGTGGTACAAAATATTTATCATTCATTCTCTGGCTAACAATAAGAGACACGAGCACGCTCTCCTTCGTATGATGAACAAGTTTGAGAGTGAGTTTTAATGCGTTTTGGTAACTTACTATCAGGGATTCGTGAAAGAACATGTAGAAACTCGCGTAGTTTAACGAGCTCGAACATGTTCTCTCACGATTCCTAATGGTGATTTACCAGAACGCGTTGAAACCCACTTTTGAACTCGTTAATCAGACGTGCAAAACATGCTCGTGTCTCTTATTGTCAGTCGGTGAATGATGCTTTTGTGTTTTTCGCACCAGCAAAATTTGAAGTGCGCGCCCTATGGCCCTTTTATGCGCCAGTTGAAACAAACACGGCAGTTTTTTCGCAAGGGTTCTGTCGCGGACTTTGTTGAAGTATATAAATAATGAACTAAACCACCACCGTTCGCACATTTCCGCTGCCTTTCGCTCAATATGGTCTTAGAAATTCAAATACATAAATCTAGAAAGGGGCAAAGCAGCGTGCAAGTTTGCGAGCGTTGGCTTTTCGAAATCGCGCGCGATGTCGCAAACGATCTTCGTGGCATCGCTCGTTCACGCACGCTTCCGAGGCAGTTTTTCCATTTACGCTCATGCTGTTGTCAGAGGCGGTTGTATCCTGTATCCAAATCTAGTTCTGGTGTATTTGAGTGCATCTTTATTCGATCTCATCGCCGATTACATTCCACATTTCTAATCCATAATTTGCAAACATTCAGTTTGTTGCAGAACATGTCGCGTCGCGCTCCTCCACCAATTGATGGCTTGTACTCCTTGAAGGTAAATTCTTTTTCTTTTTTGAAGCTGCATCATCAGCATCATCTTTTCTAGGTTGACAACATCTCCTACAACACAACACAGGCGGATTTGCGCAGAATGTTTGATAAATACGGTGAAATTGGAGACATCCATATACCTAGAGACAAATATACCAGGCAAAGCAAAGGATTTGGTTTTGTACGCTTTTATAGGTCAGTTTATTTCACTCTTTTAGATAATTTCATCTTGAGTGATTCCTGTAAGGAACAGAGAAAAAGTATATTGTTTGTTTCAAGGGTTAGCCGCAGGTTATGATAGTGTTCTGTCATTGAAAGTAATGACAGTTTGAACTGCATTGATGTGCATTGTTACATTATAGTCATCTCGATGGGAAATTATGTTTTTTTTATGATTACGACACCTGGAAATTCTTGTCGCTCGTTTTTACCAACCAAAATATGAACTTGAAACGGGATTGTTTACAGCAGGTACTTCTTGGGAGAGAAGTAAAACATATGAAACTGAGCTTGAACATGTTCTGTCCTGTTCACGTTCATTAGGATTGCATTTGCGTCCTGCGGCACAGATGCGTTGCGACAAGAACCCTTGATCGATGTGACTTGTTCTGTTTTTTTTACGAAACTTTTTGATCAGAATTCCAGTCTGTCTTATAATACGTCAATTTACCTCAACGTTATTTTTAGCCGTCGTGATGCCGAGTATGCCATGGATCGAACTGACGGACGTTGGGTTGAAGGTCGTGAAATCCGTGTTGCTATGGCCAGATACGAACGACCTATCGATGAGAGAGGCGCTTACACACGACGTGGAAGGTGGGATTTACCATCTTTTGTATTGTAAGTAGAAGGCCGCACAGTAGGTAATCTGATTTGCTTATATGTAGATCATGTAGGCGCTCCTGACGCATCAAGTTATATTTGAGCTTATAGCTGCAATTAACGCGATAAACAGTCCTGCTTCACGTAATCATTAAAAAAACACGCGCTCTATATTGTACTTGTTAATGTTTTCCAACTTGTAGTGGGCTGCACATAGCTGAAGCAAAATAGAACATGCGTAGTAGATATATATATTTCTAAATTCGCGCAAAAGGTATAAACTGGAGTTACTTTAGTAGTGTCATGTCGTTAAACAGCAGCATCAGCATGCTCACACCGGGCAGACTTCACTCAAAGTGTCCAGAAGCATTCAAATTTTCTTTGATCTCTCTCCACACTTTCCGCGCTTAAATGAAAGCGCCAGCACGCTCTATTGACACGCAGGTGCTAGGTGCTACGGGTCATGTCAAGGGAGCGTACTGACGCTTTCAGGTTAGCGCCGAACGATGTGAGAAATGAGAAAAGCGCTTTTGGCTTGAGCAAAGCGAAGTCTGACAAGTGTGTCAGCTATCACTAGCTGTCTTTCAAAGAATATAACATTCTTCATCATCGCATGGAAATGCCTGTTATTCCTTCCGCAATGACTAACAGCATTCTTTGATTGCAGTTGTTATTGGCCCGTATTCAACAAATTGGAATTGCATCAGCGATGGTGATGAGTGCCATATTGTTTGAATATAGCAGCTGTTCTTGCGACTTCGTATCACTTTCGCGCCATGCCCTTATTGTTTCGATTTTTATTTTTGAACTCTGCTTGTCGCAGGTTGGCCGTAGCTGAGTTTGCAGTCGTAGCCGCAGCGGTCGGCTTCTAGCTGAAATGCTGTCGAAGCAGTGAACAACAGTGCAGCAGTAGCAGTACAAAGTGACCAGAAGTGCAGTCGTCTGTGCAGTAGCAGAGCAGAACACCCATCGGGGTGTAGTCAGCCTGATCCAGCTGATTTATGTGTGTTGCTGATATATGCCGAAGCCATGGCAGTGCTGGCGGCTATTCATCTAAAAGTCGCTGCGTTTCCCGTACATTTTTATCCACTGCAGGCTGCACATTCTTGGTCTGTTATTGATTAAGAGAGTAGATGTGAACAATATTGGGGTATATTGCACGATTTTACCATACCTTTTTTGGAATGAACATAGTGGAAGAAGTTTGTTCTTATCTTTACATCTCAATATAGGAGTCATATCGTGCAAAATAGTCCAATTAGTGCGAGAATTTGCACTAAGGATCGCAAATAATCGAAGTTTATCAGGTCACGCTCACGTTCCCCTCGCAGACGTAGTCGCAGTCGTTCACCTCGTCGCTCATCCAGATCCCGTTCTCCTCGCAGCAGAAGTCGAAGCGCGTCGGTATGTTTCTTCTGTGCTTTTGAATCTTGCAATTTTTCTGTTGGTGGTTATTGATTTAGTTTGTTGGTCATATAGGTAAATAGTGTTTTTACCAAGGTCACACCGACCTATCTTCAATTATATCTATTTGAGCCTCGTAGCCGCAGCCGCAGCGCCAGTCCGCGAGGTCGCCGATCCCCATCGCCAAATGAAAAAGATGCTTCTCCCAGACGAGCAGGATCAGATGACCGCAAGTCAAAATCAGGCAGCGCTACCCGCTCGGGCTCGAACAGCCCTCGTGATCGCGATTGAAGACAATTATGTTGTTCTAGGAGCATAAATTAATGCTACCGTGACATCCTGTATCTGCTCCTTGATCCTTTGTGGCTACAACTGGTGTAAATGGTATTATTGTTGTGAATTGTGTTGTATGACTGAGTTGAAATTTTGTTCCTTAGCTTCATATAATATTATGAATATTGTATTTTGCTGGATATCAATGTACATTTTTTTAGTCTTGCCTCTAGAAAATTTATGAAAGAATAGCATGCACGAGACAGCGCGAAAGCCTACTCTAACTTACTTTTGAGATTTCCGCTCCAGAAGAAGATTTGTGATAACTGCGCAAATTTATTACATGGTGCAGAAAACTTGTTCCACATCGAAAGCAGTGCTTTGAAGTGTCTTGGCAAAACACAAAACTCGTTAGAACAGGCATTGCCACTTTTAAGCAAGCGTGATGAACCCGCGCAAAGAAGTCTGCGGAACAATCCGGAAATCGCAGTCATAGAATCAGACACACTTTAAAGACAGCGGCTCGGCAGAATGACAGCTGGGAATTCGTTGTTCTCGGTTCCCCTGGATGAGCTAAGTCCAAGCTGTGCTTTGCAGCTTCAAAAGATATCAATAACGCGGTTTTCCAGACGTGAAAAGTACTATTTGAGCGGACGGCGTATGCCTGCCTTCTAGAGCGCGATTGGCCCATGGGTGGGGACACCGTACCCATCACGGCGGCAATCTGAGAAATTGAAAGAGAAAAAAGGGGGCAAACGAGATTTTGGCTTGCTCTTAATTCCAGAGTTTGGAGGTCAGTTGTAGTGGGATTCCCACCACGAGCGAAGAAGTAGTAATACCTTGTAATGAGCGCAAAAAGGAGTGGTTACTTACCTTTGAAATGAAGTTGGTAGGTCGAAAATGACCACCCCATTTGAGTGTCCAATATTTAAAAAAACCAAGTTTACTGAAACTTGGCCCTCAGGGTTAATTTACATGCTAATCAGAAAAATGGTGCTCCTCTTATGCTTTCGGGATTCTTTTAATATGCTTACTTTGCGTGTATACAATGGGCCTATCCATAGGTGCGATTGCTTGAGCCGGGTCTCCAAGGTGAAGCGTGTCTAAAAAGGACCTGAGAGGGGGGGGGGTGGTTGAATAACTGCCGCGTCGACGGTGGGAGGGTATTCAAAAAATGGTGAAAATCAAAATTATCCATTTCTAAATTGGATTTGTATGGAATATAATTAGTGAACTGTTTGCAAGTACTTTGTTTTCGATCTACAGAAACATTATTTTATTTTTATACACCATTTTTCGTTAAAAAATTCATGTTTAGGTGGGTCGAACGTAATGTGTAATGTTGAAATATGATTTCGACCGACAATCACATGAACAATGAAAACTGGCACATACTCAGAGGCTTGAAAGGTGCTGAATGAAGTTTTACTTGGAACTCACAATGTGGACATTGTTAATAGGAGACTCCGTGATGATTATGGAATTATTGTTGCAAATAAATCCGTAAGTCTAGGAGTACAATGGAATAAATTTGTTGCTTAATTGTGCCCGTTGTGTCCACTTGAAGCAGATTAAACACATACAGTGTAGCATAGTGATAAGAATAGTAATTGATGTTAGGACAAATTCCTAGAGCAGTAAAGTTGGAGCTACGATATTGACGATATTAAAGCAGGGTCAGTTTTCATTTAGTATGCCTTGAGCACTTGCAGTAGGTCGCTCTCCAGTATAACCATCGCTAGGCTGAAGCAATTCTGAACTAGATCTGGAATCTGTTCTTCAAAAGCTATAAAATGATGTATAATTTGTGAGGACTAATATTTTTTTCCAGGTGATGTACTTTCCAGAGGTGCAACGACCCTCCCCCTCCACGTTAGAGCCCCATATCTCCACAATGGGGGCATTTCATGATTAAGCTTTTTTGCATCTTTTAGAGGGAGGTCCATTTAGTATTACTTATACCCTCATAAAGAGATTCCACGGGACCGACTAACTCAAATTCAAAATTTTCCTGTGTTTTTCAAGCGCCTTCTATTCCTTGGTGTAACTCTTCTTCAGTACATCCGATCTCTCTGCGAGGGTATAGGTAAGACTCAGTAAACCCCCCTCGTAGATGCAAAAAAAACTGAAGCATGAAATGCCCCATCGCCGAGATATAAAGCTGCAAAGAACCCACCAAAAGTCGTTCTTTGATATAACTTTTGTGTATGTAAATAATTCAAAACGGAATAGTATAGGTGAATTTATCTCCTCAAGAGCTTTCGAATGATATATAATATGTGGGGGTTCGATGCTTCCGGGCTGCTGGAAGGGTGAGTGAGCCGCCACAGTTATGTGTGCTCACCCCCGCCACCTTAAAGGCAGTACATCGGCAGAATGAGACCCGTGACAAAACAAGGTCACAGGGTAGGAGCCCCATATGGAACCTATCGGCCAAAGTCCGATCTTTCTCTGCCACTTCTAACCCCGAAATTTCAACGCGAAAGCAGCGCTCATCTCCTGTCCTCTCCGAACCGCCCACCCCAAGGACGAGTGATTTCCGCGGTCAGAGCGCCAGCCGCACTGCTATAAGCATGAGCTCCCGCAACGACTCTGCGTCTTCGCCATGACGAGCTTCGCGTTCACTCGTCCATGGGGTGGGCGGGTTCGGAGAGGACAGGAAATGAACGCTACTTTCGCTTTGAAATTTCGGGGGTTAGAAGTGGCAGAGAAAATGGACTTTGGCCGATAGGTTCCATATGAGGGCTCCTACCCTGCGACCTTGTTTTGTCACGGGTTTCATTCTGCCAATGTACTGCCTCTAAAGGCGGCGTCCAGGCAGATCTGGACCTATGGGGCTTTTACGTGGAAAGTACTTTTGGGGCCCTAACTAAGGCACTGCCCAAGCGGCAGCGCAGGTAGTGCTGTAATGGCTGAGATATTCTACGCGAAACTGGCCCCCGCAAACTTCGCATGGATTCATGGCAGTTTCGCGCCAGGATCCACGCTTTGCGCCATGAATCCATGCGAATACGTTCGCGGGGTCCAGTTTCGAGGGGATCTCAGCCATTACAGCACTACCTGAGCTGCCGCTTGGGCAGTGCCTTAGGGCTCCAAAGGTACTTTCCATGTAAGAGCCCCATAGGTCCAGATCTGCCTGGACGTTGCCTTTAAAGGCAGTGTCCGGCCAAGATGGGGGTTTTGGGATTTTAGGCCATGCGAGAGTGGCCCCCTCAGACACAACATCGCGCAAGTGCGACGTCATAACGCTCGACCAAGCAAGAAAAACGATCGGAAAGTGGGGAAACTTACGCCTTGGGGCGGGGTCCTCCGAGCTGACCAATTCCGGCTATGCGGCAGAGTACGCATGCCGCCACAGTTGAAATGTAGGGTCCCGCAGCGACTCTGCGTCTCTGCCTTGGTGGGGACCGTCAAATTTCAAATCGTGCGGCTTTGGAAAACGTATGTTCCCGCCGTTTTCGCGCGCCTTCTAGTGTGGATTTTCGGATTCAGCGTTGCGGATAACCTCCGGCAAGTGGATTTTCTAGAAATGTTTTTGCCCGGACACTGCCTTTAATGCAGTGCCTTTATTGGAGAGGCGCCGGGGGAGGGGGGGGGGGGGGTGAGCACCCTAAACTGGGCGGCTCACACACCTTCGCAGGACTTAAAAAACATAGGACCCCCCACATGCCATATATCAATGAGAGCTCTTGATGAGTAGAATCTACCTATACCCTTTTCACTCAAATTGTTCACTTAACACATTCACGACAATACGACCCACCGGTGGGTCGTACGTGTTCTACCATTTCGGACAATACGACCCACCGGTGGGTCGTATGCTTTCTGAAGTTTTTGATTATGCTAGTTCACGGTGAATATTTTTAGGCAAACCGAGTAAACTTCTGTATACACCTCTTGGTGTACTTCCCGAAAGATTAACACTTCAGACTACAGGACCTATCAGTGACCTGAAAATATTACGCAAACTCAATTTTGCCAAATATGCTCTGGTCCGAAATGGCAGTCATTGAAAAATCGGCCCTGTCGTGAATGTGTTTAACACAAGATATTTGCAAAAAATCGACTTTTGAAGACGTGATTTCTGCTCTATCTGCGGCTTCATAACTCTAAGAGCAATTCTTTTGAGGATCTACTTTTTTCTATACGTGATAGAGAAAACACTTCTTACTAACGCCTATATTCTCGCAAGATGACACTCTCTATTTCCTCAAATTATACTAACTCAAAAACTGACTTTCCTTAGATATCACACATTGTGATTTTAACATTACTGCTCTAGAAATTTCTCCTGACATCATTTATATTATTTTTATCATTGTTTTAGACTCTATATGTTTAATGTGCTTCAACCTAGCACAGTGAGCAACAAATTCTTTTATTGTACTACATAAATACCGAGATAACAATTTATGCCAAAAAAATTCATGATTAATGCAAGGTCTCTCATTAACATCATTCACATTAATATGTTCGAGGTAAAGCTGTCCATCACTTTCAAGCCTCTAAATATTTGACACTGTCCGCTGCCCTTATTGTCGGTCAAAACCTTTTTTACAAAATTCCGCGTTCAATCCTTCTAAAAATGCATTTTTTCACTGGATATTTTTGTAATTTCGCATGCAGTAATCCTCACTTTGAAAAAAATTTTTTCGTCCGTTCTAGGTGAAGGAAGGGGGTGGTCCGACCCGAAGTGAAGGGGGATGAGCTTTTGCTCACTCTATCGCACCTATGGGCCTATCAGACATTGTTGATGACATAATGTCGCTAACATCACTATCATCTCGATAACGACCCCCTTCCCTTTCCTGACCCCTGTACGACCCGCCAGGTGTGGCGTGCCACACCCCACGCTTGACTCTGGTCATAACCTTTATGAAAGACAGTGAAAAAGTCTAACAACTTATATTCTGACCTTTCTCACGCCAAGCCGACCTCCTCATTATCGCTGCATGAACGTTCAGCGTAGGGTGGGAAGAAGAGCGCAGCTTGAAATTAGCTCCATATCCTGAAGCTTCGGAAATGTGGATCTTCATTTCACGCTAACTAACCATCCTTTATCTCTGCTGTCTTCTTCCACTATGAACATTTTGAACAGAAGCGTTTTGTTGCATAAGTCGCGTTCCATCTTTTCATGGGATCCAGGATTCGTAATGCCATCATATCAATGAAGTATCGTGCACTCAATGTAGGCGCCGTGGAAGCGGCTGAGGCTAGATACCCGAACACTAGCAAGACTAAAGTTTATTAATTATTCTACTGAATGCAAGACAGTTTCCACACAAGGCGAATAACACAACAATGGCACAAGAACGTTAAAATATGTATGGATGACTGGTCGGGTAGGCATCAACCTGTGGTCGTGGAGGGGAAACTCGGGCAGCTAGTCGGTATCCTCCTCCGCTCGACTCCTCGAGGCTTGGTACTTGGTAGGGAATTCCTGCTTGTGCTCTCGGTGGCGGCTTATATCCCATACGGCGGAATGCGTATCATCCTCGTATCTATAGTCTGCCCCAAACGGGATCAGGACGAACCATCGGCTGAAATTGCGCGCTCGCAGCGCTAGGGGTTTGCGCTGCACACGCGCGCTGTCGCAGAGAGAGAAGAGATTGAGGAGAGAGCAGACTAGCTAGCCGAAGAAGTGGCGCGAAACCCTCGCGACGCGGACTCCCGCCATGCCAATTTTGGCCTGGTTAGGTTTGGGGCAGACTGTATGACAGTTGATCTTATTCTCATGACATACTAATTCTTTATCTGTGCCTTACATCTTGTTCTCATACGTAGCTTCGTGTGCGTTTCAATGCGCCTACGTTTACAGTACAGCACCAGGTCTTGACCAGCATAGCAACATCTGGATGATTTCTCATCAGTTCTCACCATAACTTGACAATGCTCTTGGAGCAATATGTGACGGAAGGCAGTTTCCAAGCTAGCGGAAGACCGGTAACACCATGCTTTGAAGTGCAGTTGAATCATTTCATATGATCATGTGTGTACCCGCACACCCGTCAATTTTTGGCGTTCTCATCCTGGATTTGCGATCGCAAAAACGCGAGAAAGTGACTAGTTGCTATTACTTACATCATTTTAAGGTGAAGTGTACCCAAAAAGGAAAGAAAACATCAAAAAACACCAAATCACTCAACTGAAGGGTTGCCTCCTCCAAGAATCCAGGGTGGGAACGCTAAAGGTGGACGGTGTGTGTAATGACACACATGATCATATGAAATGATCCGACTGTAGCTTGCTCAAGATGAATTGGTTATAAGAAGATCTCAAGTCTCGAGTTTATGTGCTTTTCTTTCATTGTCGAACCCCACGTTTGGAAGCAGTCTATGAAATTCAAAATTTAGAAATCTAATAACTTAAAAGCAGTCTAAGATTTTTTAAGCTTTGAATTTTTGTACTCTTACATTAATGCTAAAGTCCAATCCACTGAAATCAATTTTAAGGAAGTATTATGCTTTATATTAGGTTGGAAATAAAGTTCTCGGACATTTTCAGATCAAATCTGTTTTATCTCGAGATCTAATGCATGCGCAAAAATTTGCACCTGTACTCTCACTTGCCTTAGCTGAAATGTAAGTAAGTGGGAGGGGCCTGGGATTAATGGGGATGGAGTTTGCCCTTTTCAATTCATCGTTTTTCTTGTTGTTTAAGCTCAAATTCCATTCGTACTGCGCATGTAAGTATGTAAGTGTGTGTATACTGTAAACTGGAGCATATGGGGTTTCATAACGTTTATAGAAGTTGGAGATCTGAGTTAGGGCAATAACCTATGCTCTAGATTTTTCGCTGAAATTTTTACCGAAAACAACGGTAAGGCTTGCGGTTACCATAGTTCTATAGAGATTGCTTTTCTCTATCCAACGGTAGGCATCATGCTCCATTTAGTACTTGCGTTGTAACAAATACTTTGTCTAAAGGCAATGTCCGAGAACAACTTTCTTTCCAACCTAATATAATATTATACCAGACCTGCAGTGGCCAACGGAAGGGGAGGGGACCCCCCTTCCCCCTCAACCCCCCTCCCCCGAGAATGGATTGCTAAGTTTTGAAAAATTGCCCACATAAGTTATAAAAATGTGTGGGTGACTTATTCATAGTAATAGCTAAAATAGCTTTCAAAATTCTTCAATTTCAAAAAATTCATATCACCTTGTAAAATAGGTATATCTTGGAGTGCGTGCCTTGAGCTTCATAAATTTTTGGAAGCGCAGTCATATCCACTGTAGACAGGTAACAGTTCTGAAGTATCTTGTTGGTGCGAGGTGACGCACTGTGCAATATTCGAAGTGTTTTTCAAATGTGACTAAAGAAAGTTTTAATGCAGTCTGGTAATTCATGCCACCTCCAATGCCTTTGAGTTTGAAGCTTTCCAATGAAAGATAGCTTTTTAAGTCGACTAAGTAGAAATAACGCTGAGATGTCTTTAGTGGGCAAGAAATGTGCTTTTTTTCAAGAATCCTCTGGATTCTTGCGATTGGATAGATATACGATCCAGGATCCAGTAGATCATCTGTAAATATGCTTGCAGTACCGAGATTTTGCGATATTTGTGTGTGAACTGATAGCTACGACTGAAATGCCAGCAGATTACTGTGTAGATAATTAATGACGCACATTTACCGCAAGTCTTGGTACCGCAAGGGCACTATATTTGGTGAATCTAATCGACTGTACCTTCATTTGAAATCCGTTTGAATTTTTGCGAGTATAGGTCGTATCGGCCAGCATCGGTCTCGCCTAGTATGCCTTGCAAAGACGCATCGCCGCATGCGACGTGCTTTAACACATGGCAGAGTTCGCGCGCGTCACATCGCACCGTCGCAAGTTGCCGCTGGCGCGACGTCGCATGACCGATGGTGGTTGGGACAGCCTAACAAACGTCAAATCTGGAGGTAGTTTGCTAGAACGCTATTGGAAGAGACTGTCACAGGGTTCGGTGTGACCGCAAATTCTACGAATGCAATTAGAAGACAAACGGATCTATCAAAATGACGTTAGTTGTCAGGTTATTGTTGCGGTCCTTCTCTTCTTATTCGTCTTCTTCCTCCTGGGCTAGAGAACTGGACACAATGGAATACTTAGCAGTTTATTAGCTGATCGGACATAACTATGAATCATCAAAAGATTACGGTAGTCATGTATACAGACGACTCTAAGAATTTACCACTTGGTACAAGTCACCTAGAAAAGCTTCATGAGGACATGCAGGAAACTCATGGGAACAGAGTTCTGATCAATAACACAACAGTGGTGAAGGGATTGACTTACAACAAAACAAAGCAAATACAATACATAAATACATCATCGCCATGACAGTACAACATCGAATGACTTCAGCTTGATTGAAGGCTTCGGAATAGGAGGACGATGCGAGCAGTATATAACCATCTGAAAAATCTTTTCAGTCAATCCGCAAGTTGTACTTAAAACTAAGTTTGTGCACCTGATAGGAGAATCCATCAACAACCAAACGGTTACAGTAAATAAAAAACATTTGAAACTTTCTAGTCAACTGAAAAAAGGGGTTTCAGATAGTGATAAGTGATGATCTACACAGAACCTGCCAAACTCACGTATTGATAAAGTTTTGCTCCTTCCAATGCTTTGGATAAAGCGTTCACTATAAATAAACCTGGAATGAAAATTGTTCGTGGGCGTTGATAAAGAAGAAGTATGAGCCCATTTTGAAGTTTCCATTAAATCATATGTGTCATCAGATCAAAGCTAAGTTTCGATTGAAGGCAGCGTTTCCGCAAAGCGATGAGTGCTGAGATTTTACAGCGTGGCAATGACAGAACTCCCAATCAAGTTATTTTTAAGTCTGGAACGAAGAAGCTCTTTGGAAGTTGTGACCCACTTGGGAAGTCTTCCGAACCCCGCCTCCTTGTTCCGGGCCCTCCCACTTACATGCATTTTCCAAAAAAAGAATAAAAGATAGTATAATAGATATAAAGAGACTCTAAAAAAGCTAATTTTTGCCATTTTATGCGCTGTGTTATGGGCTCGGCATGGCGAAAAGGCTTCGAAAAGATAAAAAGCTGGAAAGTGAATTTTTGCGGAAACACTGCCTTTAACTGTGACTATAAGCTCTACTGTGACTGGGAATTTTGGTCCACTTCATGCACAAGGTGCTTTGAAAGTATGTACCACTGTTTGACCGTTTATATCTCTCTTCCCAGATATCGTTTGCCTAACATTAGAAACCATTTTGTAAAGCTGGCTTCCATCAGATTTACAGTATGGAGCGAATCATCACTCTTGACTGCATGGGACACCGGCATATTTGAAATTGTATCAGTTTGCTTGGTTAGCATGAAGTTTGAAACTTTATTACCATCAGTGGTCTAACGTTCAACTATCCGTCAGCTTCAGAGGCTTATGAGCCATTTGTGCCACTTGACTTCGTAGTTTTTGATCGCGCTGATATCAAGCGTTATGTTCTCCGGCGGAGAAACTAGGCTATCTCTTTATGTTTGTTGACAAGACGTTTTTTACTCCTCCACTAAGTTCCAAAACCATCATCACAAACTAACACTTCACACATTCACACACCTTCAACACATACAACTACTACTATTTTAGCACAATGCTGCGCTCCTGTTTTAGTCGGAAAAGCTCTCGAAGCACTTTGAATCACTCGCAAAGGCCGCTTATGGACAACAAAAACGAGTACTTGGCTGTTACGGATGACTTTTTGCCGTTCTTATCTCTATGTGAGGGCAGGGCAGTGCGATAATTTATTCTACAATGTTTCATTAAATGTGGTAGGGCACTGATGTCATCCGGACGCGGTCGCGTCATAACATCAAGTCCACCGAAAGTGGAACAAAGGTGTGTTTGTCTTTCCCATCTTGGATTTTTGCCTCTAAAACTCTAGGGGATTGAGAATCTAGCAGAGGGTTGATGAAGTGCTTGGGCAGTCATTAGATTACTAATCCCGCACCGCTTTAGGCCTACGAAAACGACGAGTAGTCGAAACGTCACTGATGATAATGAAACGTTATTGTACTGGAAAAGCAACATCAACACAATTTCAAGTATGCCGAGGTGTCAAGGGGAGAGGACAAAAGACTACATTTCTGACTAATTTATTTCTGCTTTTTTGTTTCTGTGTTGCAGCATGGACGCTCGCAAGCGGTGGGATAACGTTACTGACTCTTTAGCAAATTCTAAACCGGCGGCTGAGAGTCGGTACAAGGTTGAGTGAGCATGTTTTCTGATGCGTTACCATATTCAGAGTTATCGTTTGCATCGACTTCATTATTTGTAATAAGCATAATCACTTGCCCCTCTGCCGATTTTCAGCTTGCTAGAGCGTTGATTATAAAAAATCAATAAAATAAAGCCAATCAAAACTACTTCGTGAAATTAGCTTATTAACGTCAAATCAATAAAATAAAGCCAATCAAAACTACTTCGTGAAATTAGCTTATTAACGTCCGCCTCACGATAGTTTATGTTTGCGAAGTTCGCATTTAGACCGGCCATAGAAAGCCCTTTCTATCAAAAATGTCCGTTGCAAATGGCTGTTACAACACATTGAAGAGCATTGAACGGTGATTCCATATCTGCTTTCCTTTTTGCGAACAACTCGAGAAATTGTGAGCGTTTGAGTCTAATGTCATTTTTACTGGCTGCGAAGTTTCCTAGTAGTGACTATATATGATACAAAAACGAACGCCCACTTTTAGGTGTTTTTATAAAGCGTTTCCTAATTTTATGCCACTCAAATCTCGACAAATTCGGACAAGACGCTCATAACTTCTTTCGGAGAGTTGCTCCGCAAAAAAAAAGGGCAAAATTAGGATCACTGTTGAATGCTTTCGCAAGTGGTTAAGAAATCACCAGCAAAAAGAATAATCAGTAAATTGAGTCGATCAATAATTTTTGTCCTAAAGAGTTTATCAACATACGTCACGCCTCAATGTTTATGTCTACCAGGTTTGATATGATACAAGTTCCCCTTGATTTTCCATCATTCTAGGTCTGTTCTAGAAGATCTAATCCAAATAATGTGTTGAGTGTCGATTATGCAACAGTATTAAGATGTTACGTATCGTTGATTCGTTGATCGCACAGACTGCTGAAACGCTACGAACCACCGGCGTGTCTGAATAGTCACGAGAGCACGACTTGTACAATGGCGGATCTGTACTGGGGCAAGCGTTTTACCTCGCGGCGCATGCATTGATGTCCAGTCCGTGCGGTCAACGAATCAACTATATACAGGGTGTCCCAAAAGTAAGTACACATTTTCCAATCGTCAATATCTCTCTTCCTAGTGTGTCTTTTTCCACCATTTAAGTACCATTGTGTAGAGGAGGCTTCAACTTAGATTTTCAAAATCGAGCGAATCACCGACCTCTATTCATTACTGCAGGATTACTGTAGGAACTCTCGGCAAAGATTTTAGGCCATTGGGAGTCATATCCTCCCTCGGAACAAGACTAAACAAGCCAAAACCTCTTATACTATGGTAATGGAAACCGCTGATTTCGAATATGAAATTTTCACTTTTCTGTGATGCTTCTTTTCAAAGTTATCCCAGGTAAACCGTAATAACCGATTTCCCAGTATTTGTCAGAGTTGTGATTACACCGTCAAAAAAGCTGAAAACACTTGTAAAAAGTTGCGTAGTGGAATCAGAGTGTGCGAAAACCCTGGTATGCGATTATTCAGATTTTTTGAAAAAAAATTTCCGTCAGATGGCGTATCTCACAATGGTTCCATATGCTGGAAGTTCTTACCGTAATCCTACAGTAAGAAGGAGCAATCGGTGATTCGATCGATACTTTGAATCTAAGTTGAAGCCTCCTCTACAGAATGATACACAACTGGCAAAAAAAGACCCTATGGGAACTCAGACAATGGATCGGACCCCTCCGCTGGGCAAGCCGCAACTGCCAGACTCGCGCCGGACCCAATTGACCAATGAGAGCGGGGCAAATGGGCGGTCCCTCGCGTGACATCACTGCCAGGCAAATGGGAGGCTTCTCCGGCCCTGCTGCAAAGGTCCGCCATTTCTCCGGCGCGACCCTGGCAGATTTGCCAGGCTCGCGCCGGACAAATTTGTCCGGCGCGAGCCTGGCAAATCTGGCGGAGTCGCGCCGGAGAAAATGGGAGGGGTCCGGAGCAGAAATGGGAGGCCTCCGGAGCAGAAAATGGGGGGTATCCGGAGCAGAAAATAGGGGGTATCCGGAGCAGAAGATGGGAGGTCTCCGGAGCAGAAAATGGGAGGTATCCGCCGGAGAAATGGGAGGTATCCGGAGCAGGCTGCGTATCGATTTGGCGCGTAGTAAGCAAACGTATAACTCCACGGTGATGAGTCCTCTGTTTACGCTCGTTGTCCATATTTTAGTCGCCGTTTCTTTGATTCTGTTGTTTTTGCGCGTTTCTTTACCGTTTTTTCCTTTTCCGCGTTGCTCTTCGTCGCGTTGGCGTTTATGTTGCTGTAAGTTCCTCGTTTTCAGGTTTATGTTTGAAATTTTCGTGCGGTTGCACTCAATCACCTTCAGTGTTTGGCTCTTTCCGACTTGCTGAGACATCGTAGACTATTGATGGAGTGGTTTTTGTGATTAATTCTGGATTTTCGAAACAATGAGGTTAGTTGCGCAACTATCTAGTGTTTTGTGATGAAAGTATCGTCTAAATAATCCTTGTTGTTGTTCCGTGTCACACAGTGCTTACCAGCCTGGCTAACGAGCGTTTTATGCAAAGAATATACCTTTAGGTAGAAAAAGATATAAAGGATGCATCTTTGGTAGGATAGGTAGTTTTTTGTTTTTGAACTGCGATACTCGAAAACGCTTTGCACACGTTACACAGGCCCAAACATGTTTGCTCTCTGATTTCCAAGATTGTTACATCCAAAATAAATTAGAGCACATGTTTCAACTTGTTAATCACACGTGTCCAAAGCTTTTCGAGGTTGTCTCACACGAAACGATAATCATTTCATTCCTTTACCGTAGATATATCCACCATTTGCAACTGATGCCAACTGCGTTAATCAAGCTGCTGTACAATAACTTGCTTTGTAGGCAACTATGAATGCGGGTTTGAACTTGCCGCCGAATGCAAATTTATTTTCCGCGGCGCGAAGTTGGCGTAATTAAACCATTATTTGGTTTTTTCTTCCTTCCTTTCATTCACATTCTTAACAGCAAGCTTTGAAAAATTGCTTTTCCAAGCACTTTCCGCAATCAAATCTAGGAAGGAACATAAAGCACGTTTTTCAAAAGAGTTCTGACTAATCACTCCTCTTTGTAGACGTCTTCTAGCTAATATAACCGCTTGAAGGCGTTTTCTTCTTTCATATCCTTTGTGCCTACTTCAGTTGGTAAGGGCTACGCTTGCAGTTCTGGCTTATCCCATATCATCGGCAGTCCGTCGTCCTTATGGTTATTTTAGAGCTGCTTCTTGCAAACTTCATCTATCTTCATCGATCGTTCACTTCATTATTCACAATCGTTTCTGGTTCAAGTTTCTTTGAATAAAGCAAGTTTTTAGCATGGACTACTTGTTGGATCGGTATTTGTTCGATAACTTGCCTTTCACAGTCTCGCCTGAAACTAGGAAAGGTATAGGTCAGAAAGCTGTCACCATGGTCCAGGTGAGGTTTTGTACCGTGTTACGGTGAGGTCTTTAGTGAGTTTTTGGAAAGCTCTTTTCTTTTACTTTATCTCCATGAGAAAGTTGCTTAATTTCAAGCAGTTTAATTCGGTATCAGCTTCATGTCTTCCAGGCGTTCAGTCACAATTATATCACATGCTGCTTTTCAGTGGGCGGATTGGTTTTGCAAATACAAAAGTCCCGTAGAATTGATCCAGAATAACCCGTACTTTTTCGCTGCTGAGCTCGTCTTTGGATTTTTATGTATGCTCACATTTGCTCATGGTATGTTTTAGACTTCCTTTTGTATCTTATTCAAATCACTATTCGATATCAAATAAGCCTATCGTCATGGCGGTCGGTATCTATACACATGGATTGCCGTAACTGTACATGCGTTTGTCATCGAAACACTAGCTATCTCTGTACCAGAATTGAATCTTTATTGGCATGCACAGGTATTTATCTTTCTTCTCAGCAACACTCGACTTCATAATTATCCTGTTTAGGGTATGTTGAGCTTTTTTGGAATGAGAGTTCCTCTCTATGCCCTTTTTGGATTTCACCAAATGTTTCTCTACACATCCTATGTCCTTGTTAGCAGGTATCTCATGTACAGGGCTTTTCAACCTGAGAGTCGCAAGTTTCGCTTGCGCGGCTCCTCCAACGCGGCCGCCTCGCTCAGGCCGCGCGCGGCGTTTGCTGCGTATCCCCCGGATTTCGCCAAGCTTCAGTCGACGCGCAGCCAGCGCCACGAACGCTGCGCGGACCTAAGCGTGGCGTCCTAGCGGGGCGGGTGGGACACTCAGGTTGTAAAGCCCTGTACACATTTATTAGTCCACAGAATTTTCATACATTTTTTACTAGCGGGAAAATCTTCCGATCAAAATTGTAGACGTAAATTTTAACGGATAACGGTTAAGAGTTTCTGCACGGTCCTGTTTTTCGAACAGCTTGTGAAGGGGGGCGCCTACCCCGTTCCCCCCCCCCCCCCCGACTTGTTGCTTCATTAAAAATTGATCGCTGGTTAATCCTTCTTCAACTTTTTTCACCAATACAGGTCAAGTCAGCTCAGGCCTTATAACAGTAACAGTAATTTTAGTCTTGGATAGAAATCACTTCTAAGTTCCCCTTGTCCACTTTGGTGATTGTGAGCGTGAATTTATATTTTTTGCCATTTCAGAATGCGCCTACCTTGGTGGGGTGAAGGGCCTGCAGTTGGCCTGAGTTCTGTGATGCTTCAATTACCATTCCGTATGTTAGGTACGAAATTGCTGTGGTGGACGTGGCACGATACTGATCCAACGATTGAAGACAGGTCTTTTTTCGTCTTTTCTTGGTGTCCTCGATTTTCCACATGCATACAGAATGTTCTGGACTCCATGGAGCTCTTTATACTTTTATGCCGCATGTGCTTGTTCTTTTGTATGGATGCTCCGACTAACTAGACGCTTGTTGCTTGAAAAGGAGTATGACTGGATGAAGTAAGCGGTCATCTAATGTAAGGTGAGCTGGAATTTAAAACGCGCCATCTTCAGATTCCCAAAGGAGTTGACATGCTCCTTTCTAACTGGAGTACTGTCGTACTGGCTAGGAACCGCACAGTTTGTCTGTTTTGTTTCATGTTGCACAGAATGCTTTTTTGATCTTTTTGTCATTTTTTTACCATGTTAAAACCATATGCTTATACTGTGGTGTTACAAGGTTCTTTTTGCAACTAGGAAATTAGTTTTTCTTTCAATATTCTTATCTCTAACTCCTAGTATGGTTTTTGTAATATGAATTAACTGTTGTACGTATGCTGGAGATAGATAGATAGATTTTTCGAAAGTTTGAAAAATTTGAAATAAATGTCTTATCTCTTCGTTCTTTCTTCTATCTTCTATCCACAAACGCTAGGGGTGAGAGGGAGGGGGTAGAGTACGGGGTGAAGGTCGCGCTAAACTCCTACCCGGGGGGTCCTATTCGGCTTATTTGGGTGGGGTTTAGAGACAAAATTGGGGTTTGGAGCTTAAAGGCAGCGTCCAGGCAAGTCTGGACCTATGGGGATTTTACATGAAAAGTATTTTGGGGCCCTAACTAAGCCACTACCCAACCGGCAGCTCAAGTAGTGCTCTAACGCCTGAGATATTCTGCTCGAAACCGGACCCCGCGACCGTGTTTCGCATGGATTCATGGTGCAAACGTGGATCCTGGCGCGAAACTGCCATGAATCCATGCGAATACGTTCGCGGGGGTCTGTTTCGAGGGGAATATCTCAGCCATTGGAGCACTACCTGAGCTGCTGCTTCGGCAGTGCCTTAGTGAGGGCCCCAAAAGTACTTTCCATGTAAAAGCCCCATAGGTCCAGATCTGCCTGGAAGCTGCCTTTAATTAGGGCTAATTACAGTATGCCGCGATCGGGGGGCTCCGGCGCACAAAATCGGGGGGCTCCGGAGCAGAAAATGGGAGGTATCCGGAGCAGAAAATGGGGGGTATCCGGAGCAGAAAATGGGGGGTATCCGCCGGAGAAATGGGAGGGCTCCGCCGGACAAATGGGTGACCCACCGCTGGGGAAACGCCGCGACCCTGCCATTTCCCCAGCGGAGGGGTCCGATCCATTGTCTGAGAAGAGAGATATTGACGATTGAAAAGTGTGTACTTACTTTTGGGACACCCTGTATATATGAGGTGCATATATGGTAAGAATTTACCATTCTCTGTGTTCTGTTTTCGAATGTCCAACTCGGTGATGACCAACTTCCGATAGAGAGTTTAGATTTTTTGGTGAAGTTGAGGGCAGGTCACTGCGTGTGTAATGGTGAGCTCAGTCACTGGTGTACGGTCTACAAACTAAGCAGTCATTAGCGCTCGGGTGAGCACTGGGCTAAACCAGCAATTACGTCTTCTGCGCTTGGCTCACTGTTACCTAAGATGCCTTTTCTGAGTCCTGAAGCGGCTTTTGATGAAATAGAGTACTTATGCTTCAACAGTTTTAGACTCTGAAAAGTTGATATAAAATAAAGGGTAAAGGGTTCAGCGTCTTAAATGCTCTCCATGGGCATGCGCTGAACGTACTTCATTGCCGAAGAGGCTACTTAATGCGTACAAGACTATCATAATCTTGCGGGGGTAAGCCAATTTACCAATTCAGTGCTTTTATCTTCCCAGATTCTTTGATACCAATTTGCCGACCCCGGAAGCTAGGTTAGCCCAGGGGCGGGATCGAACCTGCGTCCGATCTGGTAATAGCGGCGTCTCATACCACTAGGCCACTCGTCCCCGAAATATAGGTGTCAACCAGGTAGAAGTTACAAATCTTGGTGTGCAGCTCAGGCAATAAAAAGCAATTTCACAATTCTGAAATGTTGTCGAGCTTGTGTGCGTAAGTACTTTCGGTCCTTAAAAAATGTTAATCAGTTCGTTTTAAGAAAAAATTGAGAAATGAAATCAATGTGTTATGGTTTTTTTTGGCAAAGTAGTCCTTTTATTTCATAATGAATTGCCTTCATTAATTCATTTATTTCATAACGCAGCTTCAGTGTAAATTGTAGCAGAGACTTTGCATCGATTTCAACTCCCAGACAAAATTTTCTGCGTCATCCGAACGCATGAACTGAGGAAGATTAAAGAAGTGAGTACCTTCAACGTGAAGCAGTCGTGCAATACTCCTCAGAACTTCATAGTTGAGAAACTCTTCGGCGGGGCATAATGGTTGTTTCAAAGAACATGCGTCAAGGATGATTGCATCATAGACAGCCCCTAAACAATTCACACTTTTAGCTCGCTTCTTAAGACATATAGATAAACGAAAATTGCTCCCCACCTGTCCTGGCTTTTTCCGCCAAAAATATTGTACCATCACCAACTTTAACGCGATGATTATTATCTTCTACTAAGTCAAACCACTTTCGTGCCATGTATACTAGTTCTTGAATGAGCTCAACCACGGTTAAATTCATCTACAAATCATGATAACCGTTGCTTATGCAAAGTAGAAAACTTGAACACCTGAGGAAAGACATTGTGCAAGTAGCCATTCACTGTCCCTCCGCCAAGACCAATCAACAAAATATTACTGTTTTTCCTCGACTCAATAATATCACTTTGGAACAATGCCTCTTAATCATGGAAGTATTCCTTTGACAAATGAAAATATATCTTCTCCATTCACCAACAAGTATGGGGTGGTAGAGACGACATCCAGCATGACAATTTTGGTGATTTTCCCGATTCCTCAAGGCCTCGTCCTCATCAGTTGCGAAGTATTCTCTAATCATCTAGATTACTGACTGTAACACAAAGCAGTGAGTGTGCAAGTGTACAAAAACTGCATGCCTCTTATGAGAGTTCTTTTTGTGAATGATTGAGTCAAGCTCTGAACAAGATTTTTGACCGTGAGATTCTTTAGGCCACTCTTGAGCCTGGTTGCTAGGCCCTTGTATCAAGTCATTAATTTCTGGCTCTTCGAAACGAAGCTGGATCTTTGTCATTCCTTGAAAGAGCTTCCCGCCTTTGCTTAAACAGTGGCGGTAAAGCTTTTCACTTCGCGATGACTTAATTTGTCATGTGGCAGGTGAGGCTACTCCACAAGAGCTCCCCTCCCCTTCTCCAAGCACGAAGTGTTTCAGTAGAGAGAGGGGTGGGGCAGGGGCCAAGAATGGCTGTAGGATCTAGAAGGAATGCGAGCACAAGACAAAAAATTCATTCCTGTTAGATTATTGTATTCCAACCCTGCGCTGGACTACAAGTCTATGACCAAGGCAGAGCCGGGATGTATCACCAGTGAATGAATCTTAACTCACCGGAAGGCAGATGACCTCTATAAAAACGGGAAACAAGTTGGGTATGGTCGACTTTCCATTTAGATGTGTCTACATCCTGAGCGGTTAGATCTGTAACTTCGTAACATAATGCGAATTTCATCCACTGAAGCTTTATGCAGTGCCCACAGCACTGAGAAATCCGAGTGAACCAGTTCGTAATGACGTTCGCAAGTTAAAGCCAGCTCAGTAATAAGGCAAATTAAACCCAACTTTAGTTCTTTTTTTTGTAAACAATTTTTTCGCAAAGATAAGAAACTCAGGTAAGCCGCCTTCTTGTACCAACCCGTCATAACGGAATGTCTGCCCATACAGACTGACTAGCTGAAAATTTGTCAAAAGCAGCTTCCAGGCAATTCTGAACATACGGGAGTCTCACGTGGGAAGCAATTTTGGGGCCTCAATTAAAAAACTATCCAAGCTGCAGCGCGAATGATCACTCACGGCTGAGTTCAATTCCAGGCTGGGCCCCAGGAACGTATTAATGGATGATTTGCCCTATGCTCGCTTGGTTCCACTCCACGGCAAATCGTTTCGTGTGAGTCCTCGCGCTTAAACATGCAAGCGCAATCAAGCCGTCCGTTCATACGATCCTGGGGTTGTCCAGTTTGAAGGCGAATATCTCAGCCATGAGCGAATAATTTGCGCTGCAGCTTGGCCAGTATCTTAATTGGAGCCCCAAAATTACTCTGCACCTGAGATCCCTTAGGTGTCCATTTGCCTGGACCTGCCTCAAGCATTCCTATAAAGAATAAAAAAAGATGCTGCTTTCTATTTGATAGTTGATATTTCGTTCCTGAGTCAAATGGTCTTCTTTCACCTAGTAATTATTCATTTCTTGTCTTCTGCAATCCTCCCCCTTCCCCCCCCCCTCCCCAAAAAAAACTATCTCTAGCATCACCAATTATTGGATCCAACATTATATATCGTCAAAAAGTAGAACTATTTGTTAGCCAGTCTATGTTTCATGCACAAATAAACAATATTTTCGCTCTCTCCACTTAACAGTGCAGACAACTCCACGAATGTTAATTAGCTAGAGGTGATTTTGTGGGACTAATTGATAAGTTATCTTTGGGACCTACTCTTTGGTGTAATCAGCGGGATGACTGAGTCTGTTGCGAATCTTCTTGTAGTCATTCTGAATACCTTCAACCTGAAAATTTTCAAGTAGGTTTGAAATTTGCCGAAATTTCACTTCCCACTAAAGTTTTGTCAAATTGAATGATATCAGCATGCCAAATGCTAAAGTTGACAGACAACTTAAAGATCTCAACTGTTTAAAAATCTGTTAGCATCCGCGTAAGCTATGTACCGCTTCCGTCTAGCCATTATAACATACCATTAGAAAACTAGCGGAATTCTGATCGCGTATGTGGGTGGGTAACGAATCAGACTGAGATTGAATACACCAATAATAATTTTATGGAAAACCAGTTCTTTCAAACATTTGAGAAAACTGAATTCCTTGGAAAGGGCTATCAGATTTTCAAGGTAGCCGTCAATATTCAGTTGAAAATTTAGGAGAACAGATGCATTCCAAATGAGTTTGAGTGGTCTTTTTGACGAATATAAGAAGACAGATCAAAAAGTCTTTTTTTTTCACCTGATTTATCACTTTTTACGAATATAAGAAAACAGATCAAAAAGCCTTTCTTCCTAGCTGATTTATAAAACTTCTACATTTTTTTTATCAGGGGATAGAGCCATACCTTAAAGACCTTAGCACTAAGTTTACTGTACCCATTCGAGTAAGACTTCTCTCTACCTTTTGATTCAGCGGGATTGGCAGATGGAAGGCAACCTCCGCACCGCGACGCAGTCTGCCTCTCTCTCGTCAGCGCTCTAATATTCTGTAATATAGTAATGCTAAACCCGTGTTAAGAGTTACTTGAAGGCAGTGTCCCGGCAGATTTTGCATTCCCATCTTTTTGCATGTTTTGGGCCTTTTCGACTCGTGACCTCGAATTTGAGCTCGAAACGGGTAAAGAGACCTTTTTCGGGGCGTTTACCGTTTCCAAAAGGCAGCTCGGACGAGGATTTCAATGGAAAGTTGGGAGGTCCTGGCATGAAGATTGTGCTGCCGGTAACTTTTGCTTTTAGCATGCACAATGCGGGAGAGCGGTCGTGGGGTCCCGCGCCAAAAGGTAAGCGAAGTCATCCGAACGCGCGCCGACTGATGTTGCGCACGCTGGTTCAAGGGCGATTTTCTTGGTCCAGGGGGAACATTCAACCAGCCACTGCGCCTGGAGTTCAGTGGGATGACCAGGAATCTCAGTATAGCAATGTCCTCCAGGGCGCGAATTTGCCGGCACACTGCCTTTGAGAGTGACTTTGAATCACTATCAGTAACGACGGTATTGATGCATTATTCCCAGTTCGTAGTAAAGTTTCCTTATACTAAATTATGGTATTTTTCCCTTATCCGGATCCAGTTTTTCAGAAGGCTTTCAAATATAGATTCTTTAGTCAAAAACAAGTTTTCAGAAATCTACGGGCACTGACTCTCAATCACGTATCAGGAAAAAAATTGACACGTTTTAGCCCATTTTGACATGTTTAAATCATTTCCGATGAACTAAAAGAGCATTTACCACCTAAGCTGCTGAACTGTTTCTACACGCCGTCCGCGCCGCATGCGGAGAGTAACCTGTTGCGTCCGTTGAAGATTCATAATTGGAAGAAGTGCAGAGAAAAACAGGTGGCGAGAGTGCACGGGAAAGAGGGGTGACGCGCAATACACACCTTGCGCACTTTCCGCGCCCTGCGCGGACGGCCTATATAAAATAAGAGCAAAACTACCTAGATCTCATAGCAGAACATCTCGATTGCTTTCATCAATGACTCAAGAATGTCGTTCTCCTCAATTTCCATAATGTAAATTGTACAAGAAAAACTATGGTGGCTCGGAGAGTACCTTGCAGCTTCTTTTCTCGCCGTTTAGGTGATGGAACCTAATCTGCGCAACTCTATTCTGTTCACCGATTACAGGATGTTATTATGACAACAATGTTGATTTTTGAAATTGTTCAATTGAAAATGTCATTTCTCGGTGAAACCTGTTAAACCTGTAGATGACAGATCAAATTTTTTGACACTGGCAGAAGGGTGACACTCTTTCCTGTAAGGGTGGTACCAAATATGGTACAAGGAAAGAGGCAATATCCTTTTTTTGAAAAAAAAAATAGGTTTGGATAACGGAAAAGTACAGGGTTTATTGACGAAGGAAACAAATATAAAATAAGAACAGGGGCGGGGCTTAGTCGCTTATAGTTAGCGGGGGGGGGGGGGGGCAAGCGTGCAGGGACCAACAGTGCATCACCGTGGTTAGCACCTTTCCTACACTCTCTTAGCCGTGTTTAGGCCTCGAGGCCGTCTCCCAACCACCCTTTTCGTTGAATCAAAGGCTTTATAGCTATCATCGTTTGCTGTTACTCAAAGAGTGCTAGCAGCAAGTATCGACTGTGCTAGTTCTTCAATAAATGCAAATTTTGTCCGCTTTCTAGTTTTAGAATATGCATATCGTTGACACAATACAAAATCAATACAGCTATCGCTTCCTACTCATACTATAACTCCAAAGTCTTTACCTGCCGTAAAGAGGTTTTGCTTCTGGTTACGCACTTTATAGGGAAATTTATTGTATAAGCTCTCTCTTATCGCCATAAGTGAAGAAAGTGCATAGCAGAGGTGCTGTGAGAATTTCATTTGGGAATATATTTGTGCCTCTATCTGGCTGAAGACGTTGTTAAATGGACTACATAACGGTATTTGATTCATGCAAACGTACACCTCACATCAACAGTTTTAGTTCTGTCATTTTCTACGAAGGGCGAAGAGTTCCTACCTGCGTTTGGCTTCAGTTGCGAGGACAGGCAAAAGTGTACATGGCTTTATGAAAGATGAATTTGTTAGTGCATTTATTACTTAGTAGATGAAAGTAGATGAAAATGCCCAAGGATTGCTAAGAATGCTCATGAAGCATTACATGGGAAGGTTCTTTGGAAGAATAAATGCCTCGCTTTTTTAGAGACATTGGCTCGGCAAATCCTCTACCCGATGTTTTCTCGCTTACCTGGGGTAATCCGACGCGCTGATTTCGAAAAAACACTCTAAAGAGCACGAAAATGTTGAAATCCAGCATTTTCCAAGGCTCCTTATTTGAATTTGGACGAGTGGAATGCTTCCTGCCATGGCTAGAGACATAGGGTCGTTGTGGGACCTTCATATTTATGGCACTGCGGCATGCCGCTCTGCCGTGTGAGGCTATCGCCTCGTCAGAGCGCCTGTAAGGATGGTTTGCGCGCACGTTAGGGGGGGGGGGGCAGTTTTCAGGCGGGGCAGCATGTAGTGCGCTCGGACCTGCTCCGTTCTGATGTTGTTTGGGATGTAAGCAATCTTCCATATCAAAATTTCGAGATGTTCGTTTTTGCCGAGCCACTGCCTTTGAGCTGTCAAGGCAACACTTAAATATCTAGCGTTATCGACTTACTCATTGCCTACGGACAGTACATCTTTGACATACACAACCGATCCATCCTTTAAGGACACGGAGTCACTAAAACAGGGATGAATAATTGAAAGTTTTTGCATCAAGCTAATACTCACAGTTGTCTAATACCTCCATATTTTCTGAGAAACAAAAATCTAAACTCTTCTTCATCTAGAATGACTTGTGCTTGCATACTTATCTCACTGGTGACAAATTTTCGACCCATATACAAAGCATATATTACAACAAGCTGAAAAACTTTGGGGTTGTATTGAGAAATAAACGCTGTATTGTTGTTGGAGTGCTTACACAAAGAGCCGTACATTGAAACAACGGCCACCAGAAATTCTTCATACAGCCAAGCATGGCTGAAGCACGCCGAAGCAGCCTGATAAAGAAATCTTAGAAATTACTGGCAATTGCTGCCGGGAATAGTAGCCGGTTTTTTCACCGCGAATTTTGAGAAAAAAGCTTCAAGAATCAACTCAGTTGAAATGTAGAAATGAAAAGCACGCCCTATATTAGTAAACTCAAAACATTTGCATGGCCATAAATGCTCAATGGCAAACGATCTTTCTGCCCAAATATTACTTTCGCGGCCAGATGTTAGAAAATCTTGCATTTTCGGCTACAGAATTCTTCACCAGCTGCATTTCACAATCTTTATTCTGATTGCAATATAGAGCTTGTATGTATCCAGTCACCATGTTAGTGTGCACTCAGCACGGCACTGAAACGAAAATTGAAATGCAAAAGTGATTTGAAGAGCAAACTATCCAAGGGCTTGTGTTTGGATAATGGTAGTGATAGTATAGGACCGAAACTGCATTCACACAAATATTCTCAGCTAAATTACAGCTGTTCAATTTCACGAAGTTCCGTATATTTGCTAATCGAAACGAACATAAGTTTTACATAAGCTTAATTACGACATCATTGAGGTGTACTCTGGATATAAGTATGTGAGAGGCTACTAGAGAACATGATTGAGTTCTGTACCGCTGACATCTAAAATCTTTTCATGAAGCAAGCTAAGGTACGATGTTACTCGAAGACTGGAGCAATGCAGAAAAGGCATAGCACTCTAAGTTCACAAGTACAAGACACGCATTTTTCATTCTTTCAAGCAAGCACTTGCCTCGAGAGGTGGTTCGTTCCCCTCACAATTTTTTTAGATAGGAAGGAGCAGGTAGAAAGTTGGCCTCGGAATCTTTTGATATGTTCAGACTATCAGAGTTCAAAAAAAAAAAAACAGATGCGTCTTTTACGCATGAAATCAGGGTGTCTTTTCTAACCAGACGGCATGATGGCCCTTGCCATCTGACCTGTGCTTTGAGGCAGAATGTAATCGAAAGCCATTACATAATCAAACTTCAATAATTCCAAATCACAGCCAGAATTTGTATTTGTTAGAATTCGTTACTTGTTACTTACGCCTTCATGATACGTATTCATAGGAAGCCTTATGAATGCTATCTACCTTCCAAAAACTGCGATTTTGAGTTTGATATCGCAAAATGTGTGGACCGCTAGTTATCCCAAAAGTTTGTGAAAATTTCTTATATAACAGTATTCATACGCTACCGTGGCTTATGTTAACAGAATATATTGTGAAGAAACTATTATTTGAAAACATTTTCTTATCACTGCAATTTTTTACATAAACACATTTTGAGACCAAAAAAAACTATTTCCTATCTAGAACTAGAACGCTGTGTTCATTGATGAAACAAGCAGTGAAATTCATTGAAGAGTTCGTGAAAATGAATTTCTCACCAATTGGTTTTTGCGCTTTCAAAATTGAAGGCCACAGTAAGATATCGACTACTGCTATGTAATAGTTTTTATAAAATTCAGGCTAACTAGTGGTGCTCCGCAACTTCTTAGCAACATACACAAAACTGCCATATTTGGAGCGCTACTTTCAAAAGCTTCGTTCCAAAGAACTAGCTCATATAAACTCTCAAGAATAAATTTTGACAAATAGATTTCCAATTGTTCGGTTTCTTCTATACCACAAAGGGTTTTTATCGAAACTCTTTATTGAGCCTTACAATTCTGCGGAAACGTCTTCCTAGATTCCGAAAGTGCGTCAATTATTTACATCAATCATGCATAATGACATAGAAAAAGCTGAACAATATTAATCGTCATGCAAAGCTTTGAAGAAGATATGGGGCTCAAGACTTTCGCACTTTTGGGCACAAAATGACGAATATGGATTCAGGATGTTAAAAGTGATTGAGTTTCCTGCGAATTACGCAAGAAAATCAATGCCTACATGATGTCGTAAAGGAGGAGAATAATATGCATTTCAAACTCGATTGAAGAAAAGAGCTCTCAATAGCTTCGACGTGTCCAGCTGAAAGAACGTAGCATTAATGAAAGAGAGAACATTGTGACACTTCAATGCTAATGCATGTTTGAACAATATAAACGCCCTTATGCAGTAAAAGCAAAAGCGTGCTTGATTGCAGACATTATTCGTAGTTGTGAAACGGAAAGTCCGCACAGTGCCTTTGCGTACACGAAAACATATCTGGACAGCACCACTTGATACTAGAACATACTTTAATAAATCATGTCACACTCAAAAATTTTGGAGGATATTTTCGCGCCACTAATTGTTAGTACTTCTACTGTCATCGCCACATTATCTGTGTATTATATTACAGGTAACTTGACATTAGAGTTGTCGCATTCGAAGTTATCGCGTGCATGACAAAGAACCCTTCCACTAAGTTGCTTCTGTTGACGTTGCCAGATGAAAGTAATAGACATTTGGTTTGCGTTCAATTGGATTTGTGTTTCATTGCTATTACGGTAGCCCACAAAATTTTTTTACCGTTTTTACCCTGAACGTCAGCATTTTTCGATAACTGGGACATCTTCAGAGGATACAAATACATGGTCGTACTTCTATATGTAAGAGCTAGATGATCACGTGCGTGGAGAAGCTCAGGACGTCTAGGGGCAGAGTCTGTCATTTTGCTCAATTCACTTTTTTCTTTATTTCTAACCGTGGAAAAACACAAAAAGTGTACAGTTAAATGTTCGATGTGTCAAGCATATGCCAAAATGGGGAGTTCTTGAGATTTTTTGGGGCCGAGATACGATTTTTTCAGGAAAGTTTGTTTTTGTTTGCTATCAGATTTCAGCTCAAAACTTTGTGGAAAACGATTTGTGCGGACCCTTGATAGATCTTGTAGAACTTGCTTTGCTCTGCCGAATGATTACTTGATCCACTTCATTTGAAAGATAGTTCCAAAACAACGAAGGTTGCACACCAAAAACGGTAAAAAATTATGGGACATCCTAATACCTTTTATCTGACACTTTGATCAGATCTTTCGTACACCGCTTTCTTGTCAAACGTTTCGAAGACTTGAACTACTTCTCGCAATGTTGTGTCTTCAGGACCTGAGCAGGTTTGTCTCTTATGCTCAAGAGATTGCGTTACCATTCCTAGATTTGCATAACGTTTTGAGCATTTTTAATCTTATATATAAAGCTGAATGTCTGTTTGTCTGTCTGTCTGTCTGTCTGTCTGTCTGTCTGTGTGTACGTATGTTCCGAATAGAAAATTCCATTTCTGAACCGATCGGGACCAAACTTGGCACACATACACTTTGGGCCCCGGCGGGTGTCATGGGCTACTTTCCGTATCGATCGATATCGATTTTATCGATTTTTTGCAAAATTTGAGCCACGGGGCTGAGAGTTGGCACAGGGGGGTAAGTGAGCATGGGGATTCCGAATACAATATTAGTTTTTAAAATCGTGCATTACTTTTAGCGATTTTATCGATTTTTTTGCAAAGTTTGAGCTACGGGGCTGGGATTTGGCACAGGGGGGTAATCGAGCATGCTGATCATCCCCGTGGGGGTGATCAGCATGCTCGATTACACCCCTCTGCCAAATTCCAGCCCCCTAGCTCAAATTTTGCAAAAAATCGATGAAATCGATGAATGTAATGCACGGTTTCGAAAACTAATATTGTATTCGTAATCAGCATGCTCGATTACCTCTTTGTGCCAAATCCCAGCCCCCTAGCTCAAATTTTGCAAAAAATCGATAAAGTCGACATCGATCGATAACGAAAAGTGGACTGTGACACCTACCGGGCCCGAAGTGTAAGTGTGCCAAGTTTGGTCCGGATCGGTTAAGAAATGGAATTTTCTATTAGGAGCATACGGCGGGGCCGGGTAAGCCAGCTAGTCTCCTTATAAAAAAATGTGAAACTGTTTCTAACCCGAAAAATCACAAGAGTTGCAGAGGTAAAGGTAGGTAAATAAGCTGAATATGAATTAGACCTTCTCTAGCGTATTATTCAGCGTGGTGGTTTATGAGCGTTATAGACCAAGAAAAAGTGCAATACATTTTTCCATTCACCAGCAATATATGTGTAGCACACAATGAGAACACCGTCGTTGATTCCAAAAGTCGTGTTAATGTGAATTTTCAAGCGAAGGGTCTCAGCACTAGGGTTTGGAGGTACTGCTTTGGTCAAAACCATCACACGATTTTTTTTATCCTCGCATGTGTCCCGCTTATGCAGGGTCTGCTTAAGCAGGGTCTGCTTAGAAAAACCATCACACGATGTGATAGTTTAATCTTGGTATAGTATGATCATCTTCTGTCGATCTCTCGGTACCGTCGGTCGTGCGAAATCTACAAACAAGCAATTTTTATCACCAAGATTTATGGTGGCCAACAGGTTTGAATCATTGTTTCGTTATCACAAGGAATCAATAGTGCATTCTTTGAGAAGCGGGGAACACATCACTTCCTTACTGAACAATGATTTGATGATTTCCGTGATTAAGAAGATATCATTCTGCAAGGACCTTGAGGAAGAATTGGTAAAAAAATTGTATGTTATGGATTTTGGAGAGCTGCAAATCAAGGTGCGATGGGAGCATGAGAGTGATTGTAGATTTGATCCTCATCCATGACATTGCTTTGCTAAGTCTACTGTTAAGAAAAAATTGTTCACCTTCATCGTTAACAACTGGTTACCTCGAGACTTTACGGAGAAGATGATGTGAATCTGCTGGTCTCGTTTGTAAGAAATGTATTGGTTCAGATCAAATTACTATCACTTCTGAATTCTCAAAGCATATCACAAATATACAGTCGACAACTAACTCACCTCAAAAGTGTTTAGGTTGCGGAAGCTTAGTGGAATGATATAGCATATCTTTCACTTGATTCAGGCTTTTCTGACTAGAACTGATTGATGATCATAACAATAAAAAGCGACGTGCAGGCTCCCTACAGGCTAAAACATCGTTTTATTCTATAATACTTTCAGACGCCGCAATAAAGATATGCTTATAGATGTCTCGCAAGTTTCTGCCTTGAGTTTTGAGTTGCCATGTTATATATGGTTCGAGAAATTGATATATGCATGAATGTAAGATATTGAAAAAGAAGTTAGAAATTAGAGCAACGATTTGATAGGAGTGGAAAAGATAGTGTCCAAAGATGTTCTGTTGATTACACTTAATTTAGACCGACGGCAAAGATACTGATCATCATGATTGTCTCAGTGTCTTTCTTCATAACAGCTGTGGTCATTCTTGATGTATACAAGAAAGAGTACATGACTCTGAGTACTGAACACTCTCCTCTATGTGATTGTCTTGCGACTGCGACGACGGAAACAAACAAGGCGAGATATAAGGTCTTTTTGACTTTTACGTTATCTCTGACCGCATCAATGACTGCGCGAAATTCTTGTAAGCATTTAGCCCAATGTTTGCGAAAGGATTGTACCAATTTGGTCGCTAATGGCTTAAGATTCAAAGAGTAAATGTGAAAATTGAGGGTTCAATAAGGAAACGGATATTGTACGCCAGCAGATGACGAATTATGAGAATTGCTTGAGAAAACAATCAAGTTTGATAGTTAATTTTATTAGTTCCTCTCTCAACTGAACAATAAGTGAAATTGTAGAATTTTGTGATAATAAAAAATTCGCTTCTCGGTGATGTGGCACAATACCAGCGATACTGTCAAGAAAGCGAGTATAGCCACGAATACTATACCAAACATTGCATTTTACAACAGACTTATGAAGCAAAGAGTAGTCACGGAAAGGGTAAGTGACACTCGTTTGGATACAGCGTTTAGCCTTTTTCCTCATATCAATGCAGCGTTTTAGGGTGGCGAAAAAACGGCCATTTCACTTTTATCCGCGTTTGAATATCCTCAGCAGATAAACGTCATGGTTACCTCTATTGCTAGATATGGGTGTGCCATACTATACATTTTTTCGTCTCTTGTAACTACCCAACTTCAGAGATAAAATCTATTGCCGCTACTTTGACATGTTGATGCAAGAGATCGGAAATCCTTTTGAGAGTGTTGTGTTTCCCAAATACACCATAATGTGCTTGCGAAGAGAGGGAGCAAGATTTATGTCACTTTCGGAAACGTCTAGTGGGCAATACGAATACCCAGTACCGATTACGGATCGAACACAATCAGGTATACCGTAAATCATCTTTTGGAGCTTTGGAGTTATGTTCGATACTCTTAGAGCCAACTCATTTCTTGTCAATTTGCTTATCTCCTATATACGGGACAGAACCGAAATGGCTTCAGCTTGCCGAGCTTGTGGAGCATTACAAGATCCAGGTTTAGGCTTTTTCACGTAACGGATTTTCCATCCTGTTGAGCATTTGGTAGGATTTGCTATTTGTCTGCATTTCAAATCGTTTTCCTCGCATTAAACCCTGCAAATGGTAACCAATTTCTTAGTCAATCAACATTCCTTCTTTGTTTAACGCACCATTAATCTTTTGGCCATAAATAGGATTTGCGTTATGTTTTACTCCAAAGGGAGCAACATACTTCTACATATACTCTAAGTATATCGATGCGTATAGCCGCATTTTATTGGATGATTATGTTCGCACCGGAGATGCAGAAGTCATAATTCTTCATGATCATTCTGAAAGAGAAGATTATCGTTGGCAATTTATGGAGATTCATGTAAGATACAGATTTTCTGTGAATGTACCTGAACTCATACCTGCGATTTGCAGGAATGTCTAAATCGTGCACGAGGACATTCTAGATGGGTAGCATTCGTTGACCTGGATGAGCGACTGACACCAACAGACTATTCGGGGACGTTACGGAGCTATTTAGAGTTATAATCTAGTTGCTGAAAAGACTTCAATTGATTCTAGTTGTTTTGTCTAGGGGTCTGACTGATGATAACATTGGTGGAATTCGATTTCGACAGCGTTGGATATTGAAAAACGAGACGCTTCCTGAAAGATATGTAGATGCAAATCAGGTACTTTTACTGCACAAGATATATGGCAATTCAATTTATCTTAGAAGGCAAAGGTTGTTTGCTAGATAGCTAGCTGGATGCCAACGCGGCGGTACCACAACACTTCTCACGTCGGCCCTGTGGGTATCACTACGAAATGCATTATTGATCCCAAGAAGGTCAATGATTTACTTATATTCAAAGATCTGCATGACTACGGTAATTTTACTATTTTCTTTTTGGTGAGACAGGAACTTCAAGCGATGCAATGAGTCGTTTCTACTCAGCCATGATGGCTTACACATCTGCGTAATACCTTTATCAACCCCCCCCCCATGAATGTTATAATGTTGCTTATGGCAGCGCGCAAGAGCGGTGTACAGGATTGCACAGGAGAGAGAACCCTAAGTGATTGCACAAGTTTCGCTGATGAATTTTGACAATAAAAAACATTTTTGATATTCTAGACACTGGCGTCAAATCGATTGAGCCATTCCGAAAGTAATTTGCTTTAAACGGGCGCCACATCTGATGGAACAAAGATTTTTAATAGATCTTGGCAGCATCCGATGCAGCATCTCATCCTCTTTCTAACCGTAATGAAATCCTTGCAGCGCACCAAATATGCTTTCCGAAAATAACCAAAATCTGCGACCCATGCTTTTTAATATGGTCAAGTTTAACAATTTTTTAAAACTTTCATTCAACCCTCAGAGGGAGTTCAAGTAACGACTAGATAGAGTATACCTTAGGATACAGCACAAGATTTGTCTCTTTTTCATAGCTCGCCGTAATTTTTCAAAATTTTTTTTTACCAAACCATCGGAATTTTGCAGTCCTTCGTCAGCCACAGTCGCAACGAACACCAGTAAATTTTCGAAATTTGAAACTTTCAAGGTGGTATACGACTTGATACTGATTTTACAAAGCAAATGAGAGTTTACAGATTTGATATATCAAATTCCGAGTTTTTCGGGTACAGCCTTAGGGGCATTGAAAAACATGGGTTATGATGATTTTATCCCAAAAACTGAACGATTTGGAAACAAAAAACACCTATTAGAAAGAGGGGAAAAAGCTGCATCAAACAGCATCCAAGCTGTCTCTCCCTGATGTTCTACGAGGTATGAATTGACTAAGTATGGAAATTGGTAGCATCAAATTTTATTAAAAAATTTTGAGGAGTTATATGAAGGAGAGAAAACTTGTTTTATATTCTGTGGGGTATGCTCTATCGATTCTTTACTTGGGGTCCTTGGAGCATTGATGTGAAAATTTAGAAAAATTGTGAAACCAGAGCATCTCAAAAAGCATGGATTGCAGATTTGGGTAAGTTTCCAAGAGCTCATTAACTGCGCTGCACAAATTTTATAATCACTAGAAAGAGGATGAAATACTGCATTGAATGCTGCCAAGATCTCTTAGATATCTTTGTTCCATCACATGTGGCGTCCTTTAAAAAAAAAGTGAAATTACTTTCGGAATGAATTAATATTACCTCAGGCGAAGAATCAGATGGGCTTGGCGTCCCCAGCAGCATTCATTATTTAGAGCAATTTTCTCGCTTTGGGATGCACCCTTTGCGCTGGGACTTGACCAAATACTTCGCTAAGGGCATCGTTATTGTACTTCATCAAAATCTCACCTATTTTAAGTTAACGGTGCCATTGAGCTGATTAGACTTCCCGGACTTCGACATATCACGAAAGAAACTCAAGCCCGTCAATGCTTTTAACAGCGCAGTACGAGCCATTCAAGGATGCGCTGCTAAATGATGATGTGGTCAAGCTATAATTTATTACACTTGAATTCAGACAGATATCAAGCCAGGGTCTCGTACTTATTAGTAAACGGAAGCTAACGGTTGCATGCTAATTACGAACGTGGACAGAGGTACGAGTAAGGTGCTGAAACCTTCATGGGTGTATCTACTCACAACCTATTAGATGTCGCAACCCACTAGATCTGCGAACCCTGTACCAGTTTTATATTCAGAAAAGTTCTGCTGGGTTCGCTAACCAACTAGCCTTGTGAATATCAGTTTTGTGGGTCAAATCTACTCTTTCGTTTGTGAATGCGGCCGCTAGAGGTGCGTTAATCCGCTAGACGTCAAAGTCAAAAGCGTCGAGCTCTTGAAGGACATGGAATCTTTCCCGCTACTGCACAGACAAGTGAAATGCCCAGAGAATGCCGCAGTTGTCGCCAAAAATTTGCGTTTAGACATAGCAAGATTCTAGTGCGATTGTAGGAGGTATCAATCTCTCGTTCGGTAAGCATTCCCGTTTGAGACGTAAAGCTCTTCAGACGCGGGCGCTCTACTCCCGCGATGCTTGTACGTTGACTCCTGACTGTTCAAGCCCGGTTAGGCGAAACTGGCTAGACTAGCAACTGACGTAGTAATCTATTGATTATCAAATAAAGTGAAGTATCGCTTTTTTGATAGGTGCTCGAAAATGTTAGTAAATCGTGAAATTCCTTCACTAATCAACGAGGAAAATTTGATAATTCTTTTGTTGCAAGAAATTTTCGTGATCTGTGATTTGATTTGATTTGAATTTCAATTTTGCAAGAGACTCAAAGCCCGATCTCTCCAGTTCGGGCTCTAAGTCGTTTGCAGTCTCCATAGTAAATCAAATCGAATCTCAAATCAAGAGAACTTCTTGCAACAAAGAATTGTCAAGTTTTACTTGTTCATTAATAAATATTTTGTTTAATTACTAACATCTTCGAAAAAGACGATCTATTATAATCTATACGAACAAGAAGGGTAGCTCAGCACACTTAAGGGAGTTACTTGATCCTGCTGTCCGAGCGCACGATCAGCCGTCCAATTTTGCGCACTGCGAGCGGTCTCCCGCGTCTATTTGGATCATGGTTTGTAGGGGAACACTTAATCAAAGCCAATTAATATGTCCCAGAAGAACAGGGAAGCACGTAGGCAAATCTTACTTTGAAACAAAGTTTTAGCAGAATCTCCATTCAAGAACTATGTTTACTTCAACTTACCAATCTGGCTGACTTACTGACATCGCTGCACGAGTCCCCTTCCTCTCCCCCCTCCATTTGCCTGCACGCTGCCTTTGAATGCGATGTCTCTGCAAAACCGATTTTTCAAGTTTGCTGACTTGGGAAAACTGCAAAAATGACGAAACACGTTTTGTTTCGGAAGTTTTTGCTCCAAATATGGACAAGAGAAGCACTTTTTTTTCGAAGATGCAGAGTCTTTGTGGAACTGTAGGGTTCTCTACTTGCGCACTTGACCCAGGACGTCCACGCATACACGACAATAAACCTTAAGACTTACGAATCCTCGACTGACTTATTCTACAACAGCAGCCTCCACAAAATTAGCGAATCACTTTTTCTTGTTTACCAAACCCCAAATTTTGGGTAGGTAACAATTTCAATAACATAGGAGGCAAAAAAGTGCCATAGTAAAACGTGAAAATACAAAAGTCATAAGCCACAATATATTAAAATAAATGGGTGTCTTGTCAGCGCATTAGCAGAGATTCACATCATGGCTAACTAATTATATCCGGTATCCCCGAAGTTACGTACCACTATTTGATAGTTGAATTCTGCTTCTCATAAACTCATTTGCCAACCTTTAGTACATTCTGTAAAGCTATCTTCAACTCAAATCTCCAGCATAAAGCAGATACACTTTCCTTTTTTGTGGAGGGTTACGATAGAAATTTGCAGCGTACAGCGCTATTATGTGATAGGCATAACCTTCCAAATTTTTTGAGAAATTTTCTTAAGAGCTAAAAAGTTGTGTAACATAGTTTCTAGACCTAGACATGGTCATTTCGCATTCCCTTCCAATTCTACACAACTTTTGACAAGTTTTTAGAGCTTTCAGATAGTGTAGCCAAATTTTTGAGAAATGTTGTAAAAACAGCTGCCACAGTATGCCTGACATAACTCATAAACAGAGCCTGGAGTTAAAGATCTGATTAGCTAAAAGTGAGGGTTTTTGGCTTGGTTGGACTTTCTTCAAGATCTTTCTTACAAAAACAAAGAGTAATTGGTGTAGCTTTATATGTACTATTAATAAAGTTGAAAGCCATAATTTGGGTTGGAAAGAAATTTTTCAAACATTGTCTTTAGACAAAGTTTTTTTGTTTCGATGTAATCACTAATCGGGGCATGCTGCACACCATTGGATAGAGGAAAGCAATCTCTACAAAAGTATGGTAAGCGTAAGCCTTATCAATGTTCTCAGTGAAAATTCAAGCGAAAATTCTAAAGCATAGGTTTTTGCCCCAACTCGATCTTTAAACTTTTTATTGAGTTGTGAAACTCCACATGCTTTGATTTAAAGTATACACTTACATACTTACATGCACAGTTCGAATGCAATTTGAGCTTAAACAGCAAGAAAAAACGAAGTAATTGAAAAGCAGCAAGCTCCGCCCCCATTGATATCAGGCTCTTCCCCTTGCTTATATTTCGGCTGCAGGCAAATGAGAGTACAGCTGCAAATTGCGCATATACACGCATTAGATTTCGAGATATAACGGATTTGATCTAAAAATGTGCGAGGGCTTTCTTTCCAACCTAATAAAAAGTTACACATTGATAAAAGATTTTGTGAAAAGAGAGTATTGACGATAAGCCGTGTGTACACACATTCGCAACAATCCTTGGTCAATGAGCGCAATGAGCGTGTGGTTTGCACTATCCGTTAAGAAGATGGTGATTTATTGACATTACCGTTAACAGGTCTTAATTATGTATGTACACGATGTAGCTGTGTTTTTCGAAAACTATACAATGTATCGAATGAAACCCGAAGAAGGAGTTATAAGGTCAGTCAAGCAATTTTCATAAATCTTTCTTACAAATTATCATATTTCAATTTATACTCAATTGTTAGAATCTGACCAAGTCATTTGTGGCGCAATATGTGAGTCTGCGTATTGCACGTTACAGCATACAAGTCCTTACCAGACATCCGACAGTTAAACATCTTTTAGCTGGAAAGAAAAACTTTTGTACCCTTTGATTGAACTGGCTTGGCGGCTGGAAAGCGGGAATTCGTGACCTAATAAAGGCTAGATAATGATTAGAGAGCACGAGCACAACAGAGACGCAGACTGTGTCGCGAGCGCGAGGCCCCAACTAGCTCACAAATCCCCGCCTTCCAGCCGCCAAGTCGGTTGAATCAAAAGTTATACTACCACATGTTGTTCATGTACCCAAGCTAAGAGAGGAAACAACATGGAGAAATCCCAGTCAATAATTGGTTTTCGGTCATAGAAGTCGTCAAGTGGAGCACGTGCTGTGCAACACGCGTATTAAGTCACAATTGACTCGACTCTACTCAATAATTATGTTGTGAGTTCAGGCACTATCGAGACGTGAATGCTGGCCAATGGAGTAAGAAATGGCTGGGTGGAATTGAACGAATGGGCAATTTTTCAATGACAGATTATCCCGAGAAATGGGCTAACGAATTACTATCGAAGGTGCAAAAACGTATTCATTACGTATACGGACCAAAGAAGTAGAAAATCCGTTTTGGAATCGCGATTTGACTTTAGTGCAATAGCAATCGTTTATTTATTTCTGTCCTTTTCGAATAAATTTTCATTCTCAAACTCGTCAAAGCTAATGATAGTAATTTAAATGATAGTAATTTGAATCTTATGCAGTAATTTGTGGATCATAACGTCACAGGGAAAATGACGTACAACTTTACAAAATTTCTAACTTATTGAAATGTTCTTGATTTTTCAACTTGAGACCGCATATAACATTTTGTAAAGGTTCACCTTATGGATATGTTGGAATTGTAGCCTGCTTGGTTTGGTATTTAGGAAATAACGTTTGCGAAAGCCCGAAAATCTATGATTGTAAAAGCTACTGCATGACGAAGGTGCAGTAGCAGTATTAGTTGAGCGGGCGCGAACGCGACGAGCGCGTATCCTCACCGTTGTAAATCCTGCGCCTCCTGCGCTCTGCGGCTAATAAAGCCGCGTTAGCGGGCAAAGATATTACGCTTTCGTCATGCAGCAGCCTATACTTCCAAAGTTTTGTTGAGATTACTTGTGTATGGACAACCCAACATTATCCTGGCAAAAGCGTACCAGTCTTCGTTTTGGCCAATTTCTGAAGACGGAAAGAGTAGCGAGTGTACTTAAGAATGATGATGTTTGATGGAGAGTATCTGCGCGAGTAATTGGAAAGTCCTAAGATAAGGAAGGAGACCTATCTAATCTAATATATAAAGAATCGTAAGCGCAATTAAAAAATGTGCACATAGCGGGAACCCACGTAGCGGTCCCGTAGCGCGCGCATGCTACTAGCACCTTCAATTGCTGGTTCACTAGTCTAATATATAAAGAACTAGCGACCCTACGGGTCGCTAGTAAGTGGGCTGGGGCAGATACATTGATAACTGTCTGCGTTCAACTAAGAATAGCAAGAGAATGAATTCCCATTTTTTCAACGATCTTTTTCGAAATGCAAGTAGTAGAAGAAGCAAGACCAGGCTCTCAAGGAAACTTTTTACAGCGACTAACTACCAAATTATATATGCTGTTCTTCTTGCAAATACCCAATCCCAGCTTCTAAAAATGGAAATTGCCTAGGCACTCATCTATGTAGAACAGCTGATTCAACCCGAAATTCAGGCTGATTTTCAGGAATGTGCTACAGCCTCAAACACATCGAGTTTCGCGATCATGCACAGTCCTATACTCTCCTTATTATGTCTAGCCAAGAAACGGTCATTTCTTGAAGCGAGACCAAATCTCAAAGCTTTTTCCTGTACAACCTTAGCAAACATGTCCTGCCGCATGAAGCCCCTGGGTTTTCCTTCCCCTAAGACCAAGCTTTCCTTGCTTTTTCTGCTTTTAGGCGCAGAAGTACGATTTTCTCAAAGCAGAAGCGGTCAAGTGGATATCAATCGAGCTTTTGTATAGTTTTGCCTCAAACCTAAGAAACTTTAGCAGAAAGCAGTTTGCCGCTTGAAGCACTTGGAACTTTCTTTCCTTCGAGAAGCCGCTTTTCCCTTTTTGCTAAAGGGCAAAAGTATGATTTCTGCGAAGTAAAAGCGGCCAAAGTGGGTTTCAAGCAATATAATAATTTAGCATTGATCTTGCCGCATAAGCCCTCGGGACCTTTCTCCCCTCAAGACAAGTTTGCTTTGCTTCTTTATTTAAAAAGGCAGAGGTATGATTTCTGCGAAGTAAAAGCGGCCAAAAGTGGACAAGCGAGCTTTTGTATAGTTAGCATTGAAATTGAGAAAATCTTAGCAGAAATGCACTGCCGATGAAGCCTTTAGGCCTTCCTTCCCTCGAGACCAAGCTCTCGCTTTGCTTCTTTGTTATAGGAGGCAGAGGTATAATTTCTGCGAAATATTGGGTTGTGAAGAAAGAGTCCGGGCACTTTGAAGATTTTGTTTTCTGATGCATTTTTTTGCCGCTCCGTCGAAAACCAAGTTTTTTTATACTGTTCGGTAAAAGGAAGCCTAATCTTGAAGCCGCTTCTAATTTTCATCAATGCCAACATGTACGATCTGCACGTCAAAAATAGAAATCTTTCTATCCATGACAATTTCACATTTTTCTTCCTGCGACTATTTTTCTGTGTTCATAGGTTTTCGTCCAAATCGTGTATGATCCAATCGAGGAGACTATTAGCTTCTGATCCGCAGCTGCACTCGAGTTTTGCGATCTGCGCTCAGAAATTACAAGCTGTCAAACTTGCCTCTGACTGCAACTATTTTCGCAGCTGACATCGCTTCTGCGAGGATCGCCTTTGGGTCCAAAAGATGTATAAGGATTAGCCCAACAATCTTCGCAATAGTCAAAGATTTGGTTCCTTCTGTGCAAAACGAAAAGACTTCAATGTCACTTACTCGAAAAATTGTGCATTTATGGGGCAAAAAATGGTCGATTTATGTCGATCAAAGACTTAAAGATTTCTTGAGCTATTTGGAAAAACTTATTTTGCAGATAGTCGCTCAAAGGCGTAAATAGTCTCCAAGATAGCCCCAGCAAACTTCTATATAACTACAGCATATGAGCTGTCCAGTTCTCATCATGCCTGAGATATTCTGCGAATAGGCCACTTTTCGCGTCGATCTTTTTCCCTTCTGCGCATGCTGGTGGACCGCAGTGAGATGCTGAAAAGCCAGCAAGGTAAATATAAGTTGTAGACAAAATTGTCTTTGCAACGAATTTTGTAGCTTTAAAGAAGAATCGATCTGCTTGAAGTTACAGCAATTTGAAGTTTTTGCAAGTGCCCGGGAACTTCCTTTAAGACCTAATAAAAGCGGTCAAAAGTGGAATTCAAACGAGGTTTGTATGATTTAACAATGAAACTGAGAATTTCTTGGGAGAAATGTTTGCCGCTTGAAGCTCTTGGAACCTTTTATTCTTCGAGACTCCCTTTGCTTCTTTGTTATAAAAGGCAGAGGTGTGATTTCTGCGAAGTAAAAGCGGTTAAAAGTAGACTTCAGGCGAGCTTTTGTATAATTTAGCATTAAAACTGAGAAATTAGCGACAGAAATGCACTGCCGCATGAAGTTTCTGCAGCTTTCCTCCCTTTGAGACCAATCCGCCTATGCTTTTTTTTATTTTTAAGGCAGAAATACGATTTTCGCAAAGTAGAAGCGGCCAAAATGGATTCCAAGCATGTTTTTGTGAGAAGCCTGAAACCTAAAGAATTATACCAAAAATGACTGCGGCATGAATTCATTAGGTCTTTCATTTCCTTGAGACGAGCTCCCTCCGCTGTTTTGTTTTTATTGGCAAAAGTATGGTTCATTTTTGACACCTTTCGGACCGCGTCGCGCGCGGACAAGAGTGCACCTTCGGCCGTTAGCCAGCAGAAGAACCTTATTTAGGCTGTGGATTACATCTGTAATCAGCATGCCAAATAAGCTCCATACCCAAAGTTCTGGGTGAATTCGAAGCGTTTGAATTTTGTCGCTTGAGAGGAACTTTTGTGTTTTCTTGAAAGATAGGAGCAAGAACTCAGTTTCAAATAGTATCTAAAAGTATTTATGTTGTGCACTGTACTCGTTACTATTGAAACTACGGTTTATCTCTTTAAAATCGGAGCAAAGAAAAGTTGCGACGTCGCACGCGTCGTTCGCGTTGCCGCACTTCGTTGCAGCTGTTGTTCAATTTGTCCTCATGTCGTGTAAACAAATATCGGCGGAATAGCTCTACAGAGTCATTTAAGAAGTAAGAGCTTGAACTTTTCAATAACTTCGGACTCAAAGAAAACCTCCTGCAAACGTCAGAAAGAACCTTCAAAGTAGCGTGCTGCACCATGGGCAGCACCAGTCCGAAACGTGTTAGAATCGTGACGACGAGTTGAATGCGGTCTTTCCGCACATAGAAGGATAAGACACTCATACAAACAGGCAACACCTCAACGCTAAGCTTAGTCACTTCCAGTACTTGAATACTATCATATGTAAGCGGAAAAACTATTTGAGCAGAGATAGAAATCAAGAATTGGGAGTGCGCGCGTGTTGCGCGCGGTCGCGCCATCGTCACGATTTTTCAAATGCCCCATACAATTTCCACAAAGTAGAAGCAGCCAAAACAGATGTTCGGCAGTTCCCATAAATTGTACATTTCTGATACAAACTGAATTCAGGCTGATTTTTAGGAACTGTGTCATGTTTTAAAAAGCTTCCAGTAACAAAAAACCCAGTCATGAAAATTTTTCAAAGCGACTTCAACCAAATTTCGTTAAATATCTCCGAACGAAAACGGAGCTTTGTATGATAGCAAAGATCGGTGTGTTCCATTGCTTATGCATGGAGCTCTCTCAGTTCTCTTCCTTCTTTTGAACGCTTTTCAACAATCATACTTTAACTTTTGGTTACCTGTAGCGATTCTGAAAAATATGGAGTTGTTCACCGGACGATGGAACCTTACGGAATTCTTCTCAGGCGATGGCCGCACACACCGACCATCGCAATCATGCGCAACTCTACACTTTGATAATGTCTCCCAATAGAGAGATCATTTCGTAGGGTGCCTTCATACCGCGCCGGCAACCGCCGCTAGCAGCCCGTAGCCGCCGCTGGCTGCTTTTGTCATAGAAGCGCAAAATCATCAAATTCCTGCTATCTTAAGCGCAAAGGCCCACGCTTTCCATCTTCCACGCTTTTTCCTCCCTGTTGCGGCTTCCTGTTGCGGCTAATCTGCAGTTCCATTTTCGCACATTACAGAGTTATTCAAGATAAGCACCGGCCAAGGATATAACTGAAGCAGAACCAAGCATATGAAATAAACACTGCAGGAACTGGACGCATCCAAAGTCAGACGATCATACCGCAAAGATACTTTGGCGAAATATGGTTCAATTGCGAAAGGGAAACTGAGCCAACAGGATAACCCAATCTACGGCAACAAGATTTTAACAGCATTGGCCACAAGTGTGATATATGAGAACGAATTGCGACATCAGGGAGGAAAAAGCGTGGAAGATGGAAAGCGTGGGCTTTTGCGCTCAAAATAGCAAGAATTTGATAAGTTTGCGC